TGTAGGCATTACCCTTTAACATTATGGAGCCCTTCTTGCCCAGCACCATGTCCGCATCGATCGATGTCGAGAAGTTTCCAATATAGTTGATGTCCAGCAACAAGTCCAAGTTCTCAATGCGCTGCTCAGCGTCGTCCAGCTGCACATTATGCACCGAAAGGGATCTGATATTGGGAAACTGATCGCCCAGTTCCAGTTCCCTGATCTGAAATGGAAACCAAACGAATTAGGGCTTGACCCATTGTGGGACTCTCAAGTGATTGTACTGCACCGTCAGCTTGTCCAACAGCTTGCCCGTCGTTGTCTTTGTAATTAGCTCGTCCAGCTCAATGGATAGCTTCCGGTAGAACCACTTGCGGACACGGTTCGAGTTCTTGAACTCGTGGAACAGGAACTGCATAACGAAATTCAACGATATCAGCGTCGATGAGCCGTGATCGTTATTCGGATGCATCTCACAGCCACCGCCATCAGTTTGCGTTGTATTCAAGTCCCGAGCTGTCTGCTTAATATTCTAGAAGAGAATGACGGCGTTGGTATATGTCATATATTATGTGACTTGTAGAATCGGCTTACCAGCGGCAAGGTGTACTTGGCATTCATTTGCTTCTGCTCCTCGCTCTCGTCCGGCAAGTTGGAGAATTTGATGAAGAGCAAATACTGCAGAAGTATCATAATAACTCCGCCGATTAGCAGGAATATTAGGCAGAGCAGCAGCACATTCGAAATGGGTATCTCCATGTTGGGACTATTGTCAGAGCCACAACTCTTAAGGCCGACGAATTATGTTTATTTGCTTTGTTTGCTGGCTTGTTGTCAACTTGCTTGAAATCAGCTAGCAGTCCTTTCAGCTATACCTGGCTAACTGCATGTACACACAGCTGAATCAGACATCGTCGTTAATGTGTACACGGGTTGACAATGGAGTATTGCGAGTGCTAGCTAATCACTCCATCCATTGGAATGCTGAATATTATCTCTTTTATTTATTTGCCTTTTAGTTAGACTAGAATCTGATATATTCCTGTCGACGTGATGCCCACACAAGGAGGGATTGCTGCTATTTTCCTAGTGTATTACTGAATGCGCTGTTAAAAAAAATCAATATCCTCTTCAAATACTGCGCATGTCCCTTGCAGTCAGCTGATTTCTATATTGTTACCAAGTTATTTTCTTTTTCGTCACAGTCCGAACAGCTGTTGAGCAGATGGGACAAGCCACAGTATTAAATTATCAGAGAACCTGAGCCCCTCCTCATTGGTGTATCTTTGTATCATTCCCAAAAAAAGGCAAACACATTGAGCTTTTCAACTAAAGACAGAATTGAATGGTCATGCCAGGTCGATTAAACATAATTTATTCATATTTCAATCAATAAAATTATGTTTTGCATCTCCTTCTAATTGACTGATTATTAGTCAGTCTACTTTTCATGAGGATATTTCAACTGTTTTATCCGAAAGTAAAGTCAAATCAGAGATTTTTGTGATTTTACGAACTAATATGGGGTCTTGTAATCATCCTGCTTGATTCATATTTCTTTATTTTTGAGCTCTGTAAAAACTATACAGGTTTTTTACATTCTGTATTTGTCTCTAGAAAATGTTCTGTTAACGAAATCCAGATTGCTAGAAAGAGAGGGATAGAGGGAGATGGAAAGATAGAAAGGGAGGGTGTGTATCCCACTGAGACAGAGGAAGAGAAAGAGAAAATAAGAAATGGCGGAGTTCATTAGATGATATCTTAGCGGAAAAACATGATTTTCCAAAAAATTGAAGCATGAAAAAAGTATTGCTCAATAAAAATCGAGTCTCTATCGAAAACGTGATATTTGCTTTCCCGTTTCAAATTGTTTTTTTCGGAGATTCTATTCGGATTATGGGTACCCAAATTTTGTTGGCCAAGATATTAGCAGCCTACATCAGCTCAGTTGCTCAAGGCTTACTGCGTGTCCATTCCCAATGTCATGTAGCTGTAGGTGATTAAAGATCTAAAAGTAATACCGTTATCCATGGCCCCATAATAAAAATAAACTCGAATTGGAATTAAGTTTTATAATTTTCTGGCATTCATTTCGTTTAGTTGGTATTATTATGTCATTCCTTTACTTTGTGTAAAATAAGAAAGTATTAATAGGTTTTATTAACAAATTTGTTGAAGGCAGGTATTTATGTTATATGTTTGTTTGTGTATATCTTGTATATAAATTACAAGTCGTTTTTCATTTTTTTTTTCTTTCATAATTAATAATTATTAAATTTACTTCAGTTATCTTTTACTCTAGCGTTTCTTAATATTATATTTAATATTTAAACTGTATTATTACTTAGTGTACTCAGTTAAGATAATTTATATATATATTTGTATATATATATATAATATATTATATATATATATATATATTATTATAATTAAATTGTTTGCCTTTACCATTTTAAGTTGATCTAAATTACGATTTCTTTGACTTCATTTTTTTTTAATTTTTAATTTTTTAATTTTTTAATTTTTTTTTTCTTTTTGCACTTTTCTTGTAAAAATGAAGAGCTGTTCAGATTTAGATTTAGATTTCCCATGTGACTTTCATTCCAGACAGTTATTGAACAAGCCAAATTTACAATTATAGTAGGAAAAAAAAAACATAGCGAATCGCCTCGTAACATCGTAATACACTAACGCCATCAGATGAGCAATAACATTTGGAAACAAGAAAGAGTGCTCTAGTCGGGCAAACCCGATTAGCAGATACCCTGTACCCACCTTCGAGCTGCTGTCAAATATACATACTAACTTTCCGCACATCCTATATCTACACACACACACGCTCACGCGCGCACACACACACTCGCACACATACACATACGTTCATATTTAGATACTAATTCTTAAAGCGTCTCCCAACTATGCATTTTTTCTTATTCTTATCTCAATCTTTCAGAACATAGAAGCCAAATGTGTTAATCAAATTGCAAAACAAAAAACTTTATATATATGTATATATTTTTATTGTTTATCTCAATGATAATTGGCTCTTAAAAAAAAAGAAGCACAAACTTGTTTTCAGTTTATATAATAGCACATATATCATTCTCAAATTTGTTAGTCTGTGCAGACGATTGGACGGACAGACAGACGACTTAGATATTTGTCCTGCTAAGTAGAATCTATACTCTGTCTGTAGCATATACAATACGCACTGTATATGCCCAAGTATATGCTCAGGGCCAGTCTGCCCATCTAGCACATATCCCAATATGAATAGGTACAAAGCATCAGAATGAATTGGCAGAATTGTTGGTGTATTGTTCGGATTAGTCTGATTATAATTACGAAACGTTCTTCATTTTTGGTTTTTTATTTTTGGTATTTACAACATGTGAGAGCTAAGGTCAGGAGCTTGGAAGAGTTAACCGAGCTCAAGTATGTCAAATATGCATGTTAAGATATTTAAGTACTTAATTATACTCGTACGCATGGCAAGAAGGGCATATGGACGTTGCTCTCCTAATGGGAACCCATTTATCTAGATGAATCTGAGATCTAACAACATGAGTCTAACAAATTTCTATTGAGATCTTAACTTTCTCTTCAGAAAGAAACAAAGTAGAATAAAAACGACTATTAGAATTGGAAAATTTTCAACAAAATCTATGAATATAACTAGGCCAATATTACTACCAACAAATATTTCGAAACTAAATTGAAATTACATTGTTAATTGAATACAAAAATTGAATTATTACAATTGATTTTATAGTTGATAATTTTGTACTTAATAGGTCGATTCTTATGTTTTTTCTTTGTCTTCCTCATGAATTTCTTTTTAACTTTTTTTTTTTTTTTTTAATTTTTTGTTTCTTTTTTGGCATTTGGTGACTGCATGGATTTGCAGATTGTTTGTGTTTTTTTATTTTTATTTATTTCATTTTCCTTTTTAATTTGGGCTAATTATTTTTTATGAAGCCGTTAGCGAGCGAACTGTGAACTCGATAAAATGATGCCTAGCTGAATGTCCGTACAGGAACATATCATTGTAGATATACTAAAGAGAGAGTATATATACATATGCATATACATATTCATATGCATATACATATACATATACATATACATATACATATACATATACATATACATATACATATACATATACATATACATATACATATACATATACATATACATATACATATACATATACATATACATATACATATACATATACATATACATATACATATACATATACATATACATATACATATACATATACATATACATATACATATACATATACATATACATATACATATACATATACATATACATATACATATTCATATGCATATACATATACATATGCATATTGAACTTTGTTAAGTCATTTAAAGTATAACAATAAAAATGTTGAGAGGGAAACGGTAACCCATAGATCTATGTAAATGTACATATTATTGGAGATTAAAGGCAAAAGGTCATATGCCATGGTTTTTCCTTTTCTTTGTTTTTCTTTCTTTTACATAACTGTAAATTTGTAATAAAGTAGGATTGATTTAGCTATGGTTGCTATAATATACACCATTCGATATATACTATGTATATATTGCATGTAACATCTGACACGGCACACATACAAGCATGTATTTACATATGTGTGCATGTATGCATGTATGCATGTATTGATGTGTGTATGTACGCAGTTGCATTGAGGCTTCATCATTAATGCTTGATTTATGCATGTACGTATTTCGCTCGCTCTCTCTTTCTCTCCCTCGCTCACTTTCAAATAGTCTATGTGTGTGTGTGTGTGGGTGGTGTGTGTAGATAATGTTAAAGTAGTATTAAACTAGCCTACATGCATACAAACTATTTAAATATCGTATCGTATGTACTATTTAAAGTCGATCCTTACATTTTGGTTGGTGTTTGCAGGACACTTATATATACATATATATACGTATATACATGCATATATATATACAAATACATATGTATATGTGTACATATATATTGTGTAAATTCGCAGTAATGCTCAGCGGTTTTAATTTTAACTTATTCTTATGGATTCATTTATTTAAATTACAATATTTGTGCGCTCTTCAATCCTCCCCCGAATCCCGCCACCGAAACATCTACATGTTGATTCACAGATTTCAACTATCTAAACGCTAACTGGTTTTATTTGGTTTTCGTTTTTGATTTGGAATGTTTCTAGTGAGTATATATATATAGTATATATATACATATGTATGTATATATATGTGAACTAGATGGCTCTCCTATATTTTGTCAGCAGGCTCTTTATATATATATATATATATGTATGTATGTATATCTGTTGTTGCTATTGGTTAGCTCCTAGGGAAAATCTATTGTCAGACTCGCTCAATAATGTCATGGCTGTCTATGTACCTAAATACCTATATACATATGTATGCATGCATATCCATTAATGTTCTTGTAAGCATATAGATGTGTTGTATATATGAATCGGAAAAGTATCTAGATATATGTATATAGAAAAGAACGGCATTTAGAATATCCGAGAATAATTGAAATAGCTATACATATGTACAGGAAACATAGACATAATTATATGACAGTGCATTCGCTTTATCTCTGTATGCAAGGAAGGAAGACAACAAATCGATCAAACCATAATATTTGTAGACCAGCAACATAAATTGGAAATATCTTAAGCTATATTTCTCATTCCATATATATGTATGTATATATATATATATTTTTTTTTTTTTTTACTAGTATGCACATGGAATTGAATCTAGCTGAATTTAGTTTTAGTTTATCTTTATATTTATCTTTATCTTTAGTATAATAACAATGGATCTTAAGACACTTATATGCGCGCATACACACACACCCACACACGCACACGCATACACATACAGTTGCAAAAAATTGAGACTATCACACACACGCACATATACACACATGTACAGACACACACACACAGGCACGCGCACATATCAGTATTTCAGGCATTAAATATCCGATTCATCCGCATTGGGGCTTTAGCTTTAGCTATAATATAATCGTAGTCGTAGTCGTAGATAAATACATTACATACAAAAATTTGATATCTACAATAATATTTGATAATATGCACAATCGTATAATAATAAAGATAGTTCGGCATTTAAATGTACATAATTGAATTATTAACTTTAAATATATATAAACAAGACAAAAACGCTTGCAAATGGATTACAGATCATCGAGTTATGTATGTAAATATGTATATATATATAAGTATATACTAAATAACTTACGATGTATGCGTGTAACTACATATGTATACAAGCATACCAACACATACGTACACTAACACACACACACACACACACACATGTAGTTTTATATATATAGATGTGCGCGTGTGTTTGTGTGCGTATGTGTGAGTGTATGCATGTGTGTATAGAGAGAGATACTACCTACTTAGAGCTAATTATGTCTACAAGTATTCGAAATATTTTTACGCCTTACATACAATACGTTTCACATCTTTTAATTTTATGACATTCGAGTTAATCCATTATTTATATATTTTTTGTTTTTGTTTTCATTTTGTTAAATATTTACTTAAATGTTTTGCATTGTTTTCTCTTTGACTTTTGCTTGTTCTTTGGTTTGAAGATCTTGTTTACATTTTGAAGCGGGCTTCTTCTGCATTTAAAGTGTGTGATACGAATGTTGTTGCTGGTCTTCGGGTGTTAGTTGTTCGTGATCTTGATTAGGTTTATTATGTTGGCAATAATGTTGCTCGATCGTCTCGCCAGATAACGCATATCCATAACTTGAGCTGGCTGCATTATAGTTGATGTCGTTATCTGAATAAACTCTCTGAATAGCTGAGACTGGTATTGAGATTGGTAATATCATTGCTTGATCAGTTGGTGTCATTGGTATTGCTATTGTTGTTGCTGTTGCTGTTGCTGTTGCTGCTGCTGCTGCTGCTGCTGCTGATCTTAGTTTCCTGCTTACAAGTATATCCGATAGAGGCGATGTTGTTCGTGTTCCGGGCAAGGACAGTGCCATTGGAACTGGCATTGTTAACAGTGAAGCATCGCTAGGCGAGTACTCGTAGCATGTGTCTGGTTGTAGTTGATTTTGTTCTTGTTGTTGTTGCTGTTGTTGATCTGTTAAGAATTGTTGCGATTGCGGCTGTCGATTTGGGTTTAAAGCATATGCTGATGTGCTACCTGCTGGAGCTGCTGCTGTATATCGAATACATTCGTTTCGTATCGTATCAAAATTGTGATCTAAGTTTGGTGCTGATAACGATGACCAATTGGCCTGATGCTATACCCAGATCTGTTCGTTCGGATTACGCGATCGCAATCAAAGCCTTTGCTAGCACCAATCCTCCTCATCCGAATCGGAGTGTCGAGTATTAAGTCCGCTCTTTGGCTTAAAACCATTTAGAACTGGAGATGGCAGTACACGACCCGTTCGGCCCATAGCCAGCGCTTGCTCAAATGACAACGGTGCTATATATTCCAGTCTGGGAGCAAACAGCGATTACAAAGCATTATTCAAGTGATTGAGAACATTGAATTGAATTGATCATATTACCTTTCTCTTTCCACTTCGCGCTCGCGTTCCCGTTCACGCTCGTACAACTCTCGTTCCCGGTCCCGATACTCGTAGCGCACGTCGTACTCGTGCAGCCGATCCCGGTCTCTGAAACGTTCCCGATCACGATCTCGCTCTCTACTACTATAATACACGTCTCTCGGATCCCGCAAGAGGTCGCGGTGATGCGGCAGCGAGTGAACACTGTGGGGTGTTGAGTGATGCGTCTGAAAACATGCCAAATTGAATATTAATCGCAATCCACGATAAATGACGTACGCAATATACATAAGGTCAAAAATTCATAATCAAAAGATCTATAGATTTATAATCTGCAAGCATTATATTAGTTCTTTGCAAGGTAGTGCCCGACTAGCAAATACCTGGTCTTCTGAGCAGGGTGCTGGTATTTCAAGATCGACATATCGATAAATGTAAAAAACAAAATATGAGAACGATATGCAGGACTAAAGAGACCCATCAAGATTGGATCAATATGGACTCTACCGCACCTCCTTCCGCTCATTACATGTATTTGCAGGAATACTTTCTACTCTACACTGAAAATGAATCCGCAAATTAAAGTTAGTTAGGTGATTTGCACTTACGTGGGTTGGACTCGCATTCAGCTTTGGAAAATTAATATTGGTTGGCTTTAGCTGAAGGGTTGACGGTTTGCTCGGAGTCGGTGGTAGGCGTCGTCCGATGCCAGCACGACGAGAGGCCAACGTTGGGTAGCTGTGCTGTACATGGGCGCCACCTGTGATAAACGGGGGACACACAGAGACGGAAACATATTAGTTCATTTTATGGTAGATCAGCGATTGTGTAACCAATTAAAATGTCATGATATAAGCAATGTATGAGCCTAAGAAATCTATCAAGGGCAAGAGTCATCAGAAACCAAACATGGTACATATAATGAAGATATTTCGATTGAGTGTATTCTTGCCCGAATGTTCAGTTGATATTGATATGGATATGGCTATGGATATACTATGTCAAGAGAAACTTTAGATTTTTGCATTTAGTCTGAACATTCGCGCTCATTGAACCAGAATGAACACTAAATAGATGTACAGGTTATATGTATATAAATATATATAACATATGCGTTAATTTATCGAATGTCCATGTTGAAAACAAAAATTAAAATCATATATATATAATATAATGTGCTAAGTATTGTTTTTGCATCAAGATGCAGATATACGTAAGATGATTCCGAGTAGAGGTAAACAATTGCGATAGCATGCATGACTGTGAGCTATAGATACAGGTTGAAAATCGAGAGAGTATTGAGTATATTCCAGACAGAAAGAATGAAACTAGGATAAACGTAACAGTGCAAAAAGTACGAAATGTTTACATGTATATATATATAAATATACATGTATATGTATATGTATATATAGTATATAGCAACTGCAGCCTGAATGATAACCATGAATGCAATTCATTAACTAATTTTTTTTTTCTTTTTTGTCTTTTCTTCTGCAAGTGGAAACGAGAACAGCATCAACAGTAAGAACAGCAACAACAGTAACAATATTAACAACAACAACAACAATAACAACGACAAAGACAACAACAACAACAACAACTAAATAGAACATAAATCCACCCACGTCTTTGACTCGAAATGAGGGCAAAAGAAATATGAAATGAGGAATTGAGGAGTCCCCTTAATGCAGCTGACGCCTAAACAGATTTCATATTGTCGTCGGGCATAAATCAATGTCAAATTAAGATAATGTTGAAGCACATAGATTCTTGGTCAGTTAATTGGGCATAGACGAACAGTGATCTAGCATTGAGTCAAGTATACCCCACCTACATATGGATATGATGAAACACAAGTTAAATTTGCAAATGAATTTCAAACGGTTTCGTCTTGTTCGTCGTGAGTCGCGCAAAGATCCATGAACATAAAAAACTCCCGCCCCTCTCTTTCTCTCTCTCTCTGTCCCACTCTCCCCTCTCTAATCCTCTCTATGTTTGGTGTGACGAAATAATTTCTAAATTGTATATATATATATACATATATATATATATATATAAATAATATAATATCCATATATATATATATATATATATAGTCTTAAAGTTGTGCTGTATGCATATAATATCTTACAACCGTTTAGTGAAAAGTTATTTCTTGCCAAATTATTTTCGTGTCATGGGATGAGGATGAATGTTTGTACATAGCTGAGGCTGTGGCTGTGGCTGTAGTTGTAGTTGTAGTTGTAGTTGTAGTAGTTATAGTTGTAGTTAAGTGTATGGGCACTAGAGAGATGGATTTATGAAATGAACGCTGCTAATACGAGTATTTGAGTTCGAGTACAAGTACATACATACATACATACAAAGGTATATTGTTGAAATGGTTCAAATGGTGAAACGCTAACAAAACTGAGAGCTGAGAGTGTATGTTTATGATTTTTTTAGTAGTAGCAGTAGTAACAGTAGAGTAGTAGTAGTAGTAGTATAAGTAGTAGTAGTAGTTGTTGTAGTTGTAGTAGTGGTAGTGGTGGTAGTGGTGGTAGTAGTAGAGTAGTTAGAATAGAAAACTATTTGATTATTGAAAGCTTATAATGGAACGTCTCATGGCATGACAATACATGTACATGTTAAGCATTTTAGCAGCTGTGTACGAGTAAGCATGTCTGATATTTGATAATTGATATTTGATATATATATCTGATGTTGAGATGTTTGAAGAAATTTGTGTAGAAGAAAGTAGTACTAGCATTATATAGAAAACATGTTGTTGTTTTTTCGTGAGAGTGTAAGTGGTTTTTTTCTTTTTGATTTTGGTATTTTTTTTTTTTTTTTTTTTGTGGTGTGGTGGATATATATTTTTTGATTTGATTCAATTTGGTTTGAATTGTCAGCTTTAGTTTTTGGTTTTTAACATGTGCCAAAGATGTACCCATATCAATCCCATAACCAAGTCTGTCTCGTTCACGCATCTCCTGAAGTCGAGCGGGACTCGGCGATCGTGATCTTTGACATAAACTTGTTGTCCCATATGTGGGATAAGGCAGTTGAGTGCGTTTACTGCGAGACAAATGACCACCATAACGAGAAGGCGAGGGCGAACGGGCCGGACTTGTCGATGCTGACCATGAACCTATATTGTACATATAACAACAATAATAAAGAAAAACAACAATAATTAAGGATGTCGGGGCACAACAGTTTACGTATCGTAAAAATCGTTTCGTATTTGTTTCTTTTTTTTTCTTTTGTTGCAATAACATTTTTTTTTATTATTATATTGTTTTTTTTTTTTTTTATCATAAAGCAAAGTTCAAATCTAATTTCGGTAAATAATAGCAAGAAGAAGAAAAACGTAATTGAAAATCAAACAAAGAAATAAAGTGAATAAAAGTCATCATTGAATGCTAATTAACTGTAGACATATAATCATAATGATGTATTTACTAGGATACTACAACATTTGTTTTAGATAAAACTTCGGCTGGTCCGAATTCGAATGTATGCACTTTGATGTTATCGTATATAACATAAGTGATCTTTTCTCAGATGTGATTTCGTACACGATTGGGCTTCGTTGGATACGTTATTGGTTAGGATTAAGATTAAGACCGATACACCTATGGGAACGTATTGGGTATAATTGAAATTTTAATCTTAATAAAAAGAACGGTATTCAAGCAATCATAAAAACGCATTTCTAAGCTTGGCAGACATTTTTGTTTTCTGTTTTCTCTTTATATATATATATATATATATATATATATATATATATATATATATATATATATTTTCTGTAGTGGGATCAAAAAATGTAATGGAGCGCGTTCAAACAATAAATATATATTTATATTAGTTTTAGCGATCGGCTCACACATAAAAATCATAAGTGCATTAAATATACATACATATTATACATAGATAGGTATAGAGAAATGTGAAATTCAACTGTTAAATACCTCTTGGATACCGTGGATGATTGTTGCCATGCCTAGGATGCCGAGTCTCCTTGACCATCTCTACAACATTAGATACGGTATCGGAGAATCCGATATCATGATGTATGTATTGATGGCCGCGTCGTCTTGGACTTGGCGATCTGGCCAAAGGAGAACCGTTGTGTCTGCAAATAGATGACGAAAGCAATTAAAGATTTGACTTGAGCTATGTGAAACGGATTTTCGCATATACGATAGTTGGCAGACTTGATAGGATTTTATCATACATCAATTATCTTAAAGTCTTTGTAAGATGGATAAGAATGTAGAAGAGGTAGTCTGAAAATTCTTTGTGAAAAGTACAGAAAACAGACAAGTAGAACTTAAACTCGATCGATCTGATTATGATCCATGAGCAACTTGGGCTCTTGTTAACGCTCTTAAAGTCAGCAAAGGAGTAATTAATATTTGTCTTGAGATTGCCGAAGCAAATTTTAATTATAATGTTTTCTGAAAGCTAAAGGTGAAGTGGAGCAATGTTAATTTCTGCCAACATTTCTGTATCTGTTTGTATGTAGATTATCGCTGTCTAACATTAAATTAATGACTACGTCTGAAACGTCTATTATATTTGTATTTCTTATATTTCCTAAATAAGCAATAGTCATGCCGAAATCTCAGTAATCTTATCTATCATCGATACTACCAGAAGGTCATTATCTCAGGATTAATCATTTTCATGCCCGCCAAACTCCAGTTAGGATAACAAAGCAAAACCCGATAATGTGACGTCAGAACAAAGCTGTTAGTTAACATGAAACAGCACTACTGATTATGTTAACAGTAATACTGATCCAGATCTGGATAGACTGACTATATTGAATGCCTAGTTATATGGAAATAAACACACTGTTGCTAGCTCATGAAGAGCAGACTTCTTAATTTCGAATAAATTTGGAACTGAATTTAATTTGTTGATGAACTAACCTCGAGCTAGGCGAATGCCGATGGCCATTGATATACGAATGTCCAGGATGTAAATGGCCAGCATCGGGACCGGTCAGCGACTCCTGCGATGGATGTCTCGACGAGTCTTGCAGATCCAGCATCTAGTTAAGAAACGTGTTTGGAGCAGTTAGTGAATGGGTTGGAGAAAAATGAATGATATCATTTGAAATCAGCCGCGGCATGGACACCCGAATACACATTCAAATATTTGATGGTTTAGTTTCATTTTCGATCTGATTGCTTCGCAAGCTGACGGCATTCAAATGAATTCATTCATTCCTTAATTCCAATGGGGTATATATATGTATATATAATTTGATTTTATTTTGGGTATACAATAAAAGCTACGAATGTTACCAATGCTCCGTACTGGAGCGCAGGGAATATAATATAATATAGTATAATATATAATATGATATATATACGTATAAACAAAAGCGACAAAATGAATAGATTCACATACACATATATATGGGGATATGTGAATGTATTCGTTTTGCGTGGGTATTCGTTAGGGGATATACATATACATATAATATGTTAATTAAGAAAAACAAAACAAAACATAGGAACAGAAGAAGAAGATACACATACACATATATACACACATACATGTATGTGCATGTATGTAAGTCTATGTGTATATTACTTCACTGCAACAAAATACATATCCAAATGCGAATTTCAATTGCACTAGGTTGAAGTATCGAAAGGTTCTTAAATGCAGGATAACCTAGTTTAGGGCGTGAAACATTTAAACAATTTCATACACTACTTAAGAGTATACATGTATGTTTACATACTTGAACACTTTCAAATTAATTTAGATCATTTTTTTGTTTTTGTTTTTTTGGTTATATTTTTGTTTCTGTTTTTCTTTGTACTTTATGTTCTATTTGTTTTTCTAGCTCATTTAAGTTAGTTTTCTTTTTTTTTTTTTAATTTTTGTATTTTTTTTTTTCGAGTTTTTCATTTTTTGTCTTTTCTTTCGTTTTATTGATGTGCCAATCATTTAATACCCAGATTCATCTACATATTGTCCTATATTTATGTAAAACCAAGTGATATATTGTTCAACTGAATCAAATATAAGTAAATGTGAAGGATACGAAACTTAAATTCAATAATATACAGTTATAACTGACAAATGATGTTACATACTACGGTTGTCTATTCATATTTACATACAGTTAGTTGAGATATATACAGATATGCTACAAACAAATATGTACATGTGTGTTGTCTAAAACTCTGGATCTACAGATATATAGTACATCAATACAAAAGTTAGTTCGATTCAAGCAGTGTACAGTTCAAGGTAAAAACTAAGCGTGTGTGAATATTTACAGTTTAGCATCTACATATCTAAGTACATATATAGATAGATATATGTATGTATATATAGTAATCTCATGCAATCTACGAATAGTTGTACTAGTTGTGTGCGTTTGTTTGTGGGGTACATATATATATATGGGATTATTCTGTTGGTTTCTGATTTCAAGTTCTGGTGGATGTGCAGCTGAGCCAGCGAGTGACCTGTCCAAATGTCCATCAATCAGGTAATGAGCCCGACTTACTTACCACGCTTTAACTAACCTACTTCATGGACTTGCAAACAATAAACGATTAGGTAGAGTTTTCATTTAAGTGTATTCCTATCAGGGCGGTTACCAAGGCGGCACCAAAAACTTTGTTCTTTTGTGTTCTTCGAGGAGAGTGTGTGCACGAATCGGCACGAAAATAGTTGATAATAGTAGAAGAGTATTTAATTGTTGTTTTGTTTCATTTTCTTGTTATGAATTGAATACGTGTTTAGAGTTTGAAACTACTTAAGAGTACAATATAAAGGTCCTAATTTATCAACAACAAAAAAACGAGAAAAGAAGAAGAAGAATTTAATTTCCGTATTGGCAAGTGGGACACAATAACATGTACTATAGTTATAAGAATAAAATGCTTCTGCTTTAAAATATCCTAAGCACATTACTCTATATTAACACTAGAACTGCCCGAAGTCAGAGCACGTGTACACAATTATTCTGCAAGTATGCGGCCCTTACTGTCTGATACCCGCTCAAGCGGTCGCTTGACTGAGAATATTGTTTCGATTTATCTGCAACCGTGCAATCCGGAATTATACTACTTGACTTGAAAAGTCAAAAGATTATAGGTTCAATGTGGGCGTGGCAAATCGGACATCACTTGAATAATTTTTATGCGCTTGTCTATGGAAGTTGGAGACCTGGAATTTGGTATTTGAATCCGAATTATACGACTCCCAAACCTTTATAAAGTTAAGGCACTTGAGTCTATCAAATTTATGTTCCTACTCGAGTAGGCGTGATAAACCGTAAATAATTATTAGTTCGATAGCTTATAGCTTGATCTGGTTTAGTTTATACATTGATCTTATCAATGGATATTGCAAGAATTCCAAGAATTCAAAAAGTACAATTCGGTTGATCTCTTCTATTGACAGATCAGCAGCATATCTATGGTTCGCCCATTAGACTCTGGTAAATGGGAGTAGTTCTGTTTACTAAAGTGAACTGGTTGAACGGGTATTATGCAGTCGAATGTGCCCGACTACAAAGTTCTTGATTGTTTTTTTTTTTTTTTCTATTTAACAGATTTCGCATGGGTTGCTTTATGACGAAGGCTGCAGGGATTTCATTAAGATTATTTTTGAGATCATATTTCGATTTAAAAATTTGAATTATGTGTCTGCCAATGCCAATTCGCTGTGAGAGCAGTGCCAGGCGAAGCTCTGTTAAATTGCCGAAGGAATGCTTACGTACATGTAAGTAATTAAGTACTTATACATACGATCAACGATCAACGATCAAATTACAACATTTAGTATGAATACTAAGCGAAGATTTGCTTCTCTAAACTGTTCAATAATGGCTATGCGACACACACACATATATATAAGTATACACATATTGGGATACATATATATGTATATATATGCATATGCATGTGTATTTAAGGTATGTATGTAAGTTGCTAAATTGCTTACATTAAGTTACATCGCACGCATGTACATACATTTAGTTCTAGATGTACACACATTAATACTTATACTGTTACATACATACATTAATTTATACATATATAAATATATATATCAAATATTTATATATATAGTTGTGTATGTAGATGAGTGAGCGTATAGTTTCAAAGGTACTAGTGTTTTACTTCGACTTAAGTAATTTTGGTTTTTTCGAACAACATTTATATCGGAAACGGATTATGGACACAAAGAGTATTCACATATATTCATAGAGATAATATACACAATTATTGATTCTGGTTTAAGTTTTTAAATTTGATTGATAATTTCATTTTGGTTTACCGCTTGGAGTTTATCAAACTTATTCACCTTTTTGTTTCTGAAATTATTTAAAAATTAGAAAAAAAAAACAATTTACTTATGTAAATGTACAAAGCACAGAGAGTTGTTAGTGTTTGTTTGATTGTTGTTAGTGTTTGATTGCTTGCTTGTTTGTTGTTGTTATTGGTATTGTGATTGTTGTGTTATTTTGTGAGTGAACGAAAGGGAAATTAAATCAAATATCCAAAACAAAAGAAGTCTTGAGAGTCTCAGCAGACCTACACATAGCATATCATATGATTTTTGGAATTCACTTATTTATCATATATACATATGTATATGTATGTGGTAAGTCTGTTCTTTACATTATATAAGTATATAATATGTAATAGATGGCAAATGGCTGATTCAGGTGAATACGAATCACATATATATGACATTTATGTGGGATGCATATGTATGTATGCATATGTATAATACATTTATGTATGTATGTATGGCATGTATTACATGTGCAGCCAGTGCAGTTAAGAACAAATTGATTATAAGCTTTGGAATACAGAAATCTGAAATAGAAGATGTATCTTCATTTATTTGTTGGGTAACGGTTATTATGACGAACACCTAGAGAGTTCTGTTGAGATCTACATATGTTAGTTAACTTGAAGTTAAGCTGGCTATATCAGAGACCATGGATTTGTAATTCGATATCTCAAGTTAAGATCTTTAAATTTCATTAAAAAGGGGATCTTGGAATCATCGGTTTTTTAAGTACTCTTGGATAACACAACACTATAGAAGTTTAAGTGCAAATGTTTTCTGGAGTTAAAAAAAATAAGCCTCGAATGCAATAAATACATTATGGTTCAAGATTCGATTTGTCATGAGAAAAACCAATAAGGAAACTAGAATCCCTTTGGTTATTGGCTTATGTCTTAGAAGAGTGCATTTGTAGTAAATAATTAGCTTAAGTAAACATCATTTCGATCCTAAACGCTATAAGGATATAAGCAAATCCTGAACTATGTCAATCGAATTATGATTCCATCTTTCAAAGATTTAATAATAGACATCAAATATACAGGGTATACGAAGAGATTGGGTTAAGTTCTTTTCTATAACAAAATGCGTAATAGGTGGAGAGAGCAATTGAAGCAAGTAAGTACATTTGATAGAGGTAAGACGTAAGTCTTTGTTTCGCTATAGATATGGAGTTCAATCAAGGAGAGCTTCTAATGAGCGATACGAATGGATATGACCTTTACAGCGAGCTGGTCATAAATGTACCCAGAGCAAAAGGTAAAGTTCTGGCTGACAATGAAGACTGGATGTAGTGATGTATACATAAAGATGAGTGATGGCCGATGACTGATGACTGATGACTGATGATTGGTGACTGATGAATGATGACGACGCGTGATGAATGGTAACGTTAGCAATACTATGCACTTGACATGTTAAAGTTAAGGTGTTGTTTGTTTTTAAATTACCTAACTGATCGCTTTCTGATCGTACTCCGACGTGCTAGTGTTGCCAAACTGTTGTGTTCGACATCACCATTAGCGTGATAAGTGCTTGCTAACAAATGTGTCTGTGAGTTGGCGCCTCCTTCCCCATTTGGCTCAAAACTTATCGAGCCCTGACGCGATCCTCCTTTGTCAAGGGCTGCCATATCGAGCAGGCAATTAAAGAATGATTGTTTCTATTTTGTTTCGTTTCGTTTCGTTTCGTTTCGTTTTGTTTTTGTTTTCGTTTCGTTTTGGTTACGTTTTGAAGTGCCGTTCGTGCCAGATTTGAGGTTCGTTTATAACATTTTGTTTGTTGTTAGTTATTTGGTGATTGTTTCATGAGTATATAGAGAGGTTTTGAGTGTGTGTTTGTTATTATTTTGTTGTTGATTTTGGATTTTTCATTGTAGTTTCATTGGATGCGATTTGTTGGTTGGTTCGTTGATTGTATGTAGATAGCGAAACGTTGTTGTAGCGAAACAAGTTGCGAGTTCAATTTTCGGTTTTCAGTTTTAAGTTTTCATTGTTGTAGATTTGTTGGGTGAGTGGTGAGTATAAAGAGTCATGTTTGCATTGCAACGCATTAGGTTTTTTTTTTTTTTTATTTGTGTTTAAGCATTAAAATGGAATGTAAGAATTATTATAGAATAATTGAAAATGTAATAAGTAGTTACACAACAAATTAAAGATACATAACCAAAAAGATTTAATTATGTATATAGATATATACATATATATGTATATATTTATATATATTAATGTATAGCTGTTGTATTTTCTTTTTTATATTCTAAGAAATATATTTGTTTACGTAATATAATAGATATATATGCATTTATATGTATATATATAAGTATGTTTATATTATAGTAGTATGGGCAAATAGCGGGTTTTCTGCTGATTTCTTTGATACGTATATGTATGGAGTAGAGTATACCATTCAGAGATGTTTAAAGCTCTATGCATTTTAGAAAAATGTGTGTATATATATAGATATATATATGTGTGTGACAGTGTGTGTGTTTGTGTGTGTGATGCTTTCTCATATAAAACGAGTTTTGATTTGGTTTTATATTGATGTTTTTTTTTTTATATGTATATATATATTTCAATTGATGTGGTAAAAACATGCGCAAACATTTTTACAACTCACTAGGTTTTTGAAGAAAATCTAAGAAGTATCTGTGTAAATATTTGAATATGAGAATTATGAGTGCCAATTTATAGAAAATGTGGACCGGGCAAGTAAATAGAATCAGATATTTGCAAAGAAAATCGAATATCGTATTGAGATTGTTTTTTAGTTTTAGCTTATCGCTTAGCATGGTGTGGATGTAATCTAGTAGTAGATGGTAAATGTTCAACACAAAAGATAAGTATCGAAAAGATATCTAAGGTTGCATTTTCATCACACTTTCAGTTTATTTATTATTTTTGGTATTATTAATTTTTTTTTTTTTTTGTGCATGCCAAGGATTTCAAGTTTGTTTTTTATTTATTAGTTTAGTTTAGTTTAGATCTATGGTTAGAGATTAGATATGCAAAAAGTTGAATTGGTTACCTAACTTAAGACTTATGTAGATGGGTTTGTTTTGCATGCCTATCGTCATAAATAGAATGGTATAGGAAACTCAACGGCACAACTTGTGAATCAAATAAAAATATATGGTAAATATAGGACATTTGCCATTGTTGTTTTCAAACTCGTACTAGTTCATTTTTTTTTTCTCCTTTTTTTTTTTTTTTTTTTTTTTTTTTTTTGTATTGTTATTTAATCATTTTGTTAATTCGTTATATAATTTGCCTCGTCTTCAAATCTAATTCGACGGCTGCCATCCTAGGCGCTGCATATATAGTCTGATATTGTCCTAATTAGATATACTATATATGTGAGTGGTTATGTATATATATATTGGGTATATATGTAGGTTAATAGCTTGCAGTACAATGCATCTCTATGCATACAAATATGAAACGGTGCAAAACTCGATTCGAAAATTGATTAAATTGTGCGATATTAACAAGGCTCGCGAATGCAAATCAGCAAAGATAAATCATACAAACTAACATAGTTCTAGTATTATCATTGTGGACTTAAAGAGGGTGCTGCTCTCCGGCAGCATGGCTCAAGCATACACTCGAAAAGGGCATACTTGCTGCGGAGGGCAAAGAATGATCTAAATGGGTCTAGGTGCGATTTCAATTTCGATTCCGATTCAGATATTTGCCAACAGAAACTATAAAAATCAAGTTAGATAACAAATTTCAAATTTGAATTTTGCCGTTATGCTATGAAAAATCATATATTATATAGTGTATATATAAAAGATTCGTCAAGCCGGTGATAATTATCAATCTATTGAATGGTGTTCTATTGGGCTACCCTTGCAGAGGAGTTTTTTGACTTGAGTTAAGATCTTCATAAATATTTTATATTCTCGTTTACGAAGTCAGAAATATGTCTATGGCTAGAGCAATCATTGCAATTCAAGTTACAACCTGGAAAATTTTAGGTACATGACAAATCAGTTAGTTAGATATACCTTTATATATATTCTCGTCCATTCATAATTGTATAAAAAGTGGAATATATATGTATATGTATTTGTTTAGAAAATTACTTAGGTATATAAAGATGGTATAGCTATGCAAAAGCTTTGAAAGCCATTGACGGGCCCATCGATAGTATCAATGGACAATAATTGTGGCCTTGAATCGATGGATTTCGTTCGATGTTTATTAATCGTAACATTCAGTCCTTCTGAAGCGACGATTGTACTCTATCGATAGTATCGATAATTAAAACGATGAGAGAAATTATAAAGTGATGTAACTATCATAATTTTTGCAGCCCTATACAACGTTAATCGAGATTTAAGTACTCCCATCAAATGTATCATTTTTCGTTTCATGTTAACCTCCTGCAATTCGTGAACGAGTATTGGGCAGTCGGTTGAGCCCGACACAATATCATTTTAACAAATTTCAAAAGCACAAAAGTCTAATATGTCTGCAAGGGTAGATGATTTGGTTTTCTTCTTATATCTTGTTTTTACTCAAGTTTTTTGCACAGATGTTATATAGTAATCTAGATAAAATATGGTTCAATTGCTGTACATTGGTTCGTTAATATTCGTAATTATGATCAAAAGGGGGAAATAAGTTGAAAATTTCTATTAAAAATCGAGTATATTCGTGTGTCTCGGTATCGGTATCGGGCTCGGCTTAGGCCGTTGGCAATCGGAATATTTTGAAGGGTTGGATTGGATATTGAAGCTTTGTTCGAGCCTAGTAGATTGGTGAGCGAGTGAGTATAACAAACAAGTAATTTGTGTGGAGTTTTGTAAGCGAAAACATAACCATTGCATTGTTAAGATTTGTTACATAGGTGTTCTAGTTGCAGCTGTAATTGTAGTAGTTGGTTTTGTTGTTTGTTAACTAGATATTTAGAAATTAGTAGCTGGGTGTCTATGAAGAAATCGCATAATGCATGTAAACTAGTGTGGTAGGTTGATTCCTATATATTTATATAGAATTATAGTTTAGTTATGCACGTTCCTATGCGAGTATGTACACATGCCTCTAGCCGAAATTGTTGGTATTTGTTACTTGCAGAAAGTTGTAAAATGGCAAAAACGGTGATATAGGAGAGCTTATTAAAAGGCAAAGTAAAATCAAGCGAAAGATATTTTGTATTTAAAGAGATTATATACCGGCTCCTCGACGGCCGTTGGGCTATATTTACGATCATCATCATCTTCGGGCTTCTTCCGCTACCATTTGCCCAATTATCCAATTACAAGTATTCAACGACAATTTGCAAATTTATGTCAATTTGTCAGTGTTAATTTATCGATTGTTTGTGCATTTAACAAGAATAAAACAATGTATGTAATTTAATTACTTTCTTACTCTCTTAAGGCGCTCAACGAATTTTCGATTGGTTTAATGAATAGATTGTGACTTTACAATTATAGTATATGCTTTTTCTATTGGGAACGTGATCAACCATCATAAAAGAATGTAAATAAATATAAATAAATACATAATATACGAAATAGAGAATCTCTTTTGTTTTCGCTCTTAGCTCAAATAACTCAAGTAAATATTGATATTTGTAGTATTATCTATGAAGTAAGACAATCAATGAATTAATTAATTCTACAATTACCTAAAAGAACAGCAAACATACGAGAGTCAGTTACAAACTTGACACTCCAAATATATGTATATATGTAATTATTTATCAACTCGTTTAACTCTACCAAATATATGTATTTGACTACGAATAATTGTTTCGCTTTCGCTTTCGCTTTCGCTTCAATTCAGATCGTTTTAGATAATTTGATTGCTTGACAAATGATGTTTCTTCCGAACAATGCACCACGATGATTTTCAGATATTAACCGGATATTAGTATCATATTTTCCGTTAGCCAATTCGACTGCCCTCAACTGCAGTCAAAGTGCATTACTTGGGGAAAACACACAAATGTGAAATACAAATGAAAAGTGCACGACTTTTTCCATCACTTGGCTGAACTCATCTGCTCTCTCCTCTTTTTGTGTATTTTCCTAACTGATGGGGAGCTACGAAAGGCCTATTATCATTGAATAACATTTTATAATAGATTCTTCTTAGATTCATTTGATCAAAAATTTGAATATCGCTTAGGAAATGGCCGAAAGGAAAATATATTGAAATTTAAAAAATTAAGGATAAAATATTTGGGGTTTACTTAATGCAATTTAAGAACTTGCTGAAATACGAAAATATTTGGGATGTCTTAAGTTGAAAAAATTTGGAAAAAGCTTTTTTCTTTTAATTTTTTAATTATTGATTGATTTTATCGACTACGAAAAATCAAAGCAATTTAGTTTAGATGAAACCTAGCTTAGATCAAGATAAAAGAAATAAAATTAGTTTATTCATATTACATATCTCTTTGAGTGAAATTATCCCTACTTTAGATAAATGCTCTAACTAGCTCAGATGAGCTTTCCCACTAAATATTAGGGATCTTCTGATCCCATTAGTCACAAAACCTCATTGAAAGTAGTTTTTATTTGCTGTGATGGAAAAAGTTGAAATTGTGTCACTTATCAATCGGAAATTTCGTTTCATTTGCTGATTATGTTTGGTTCGAAAAGAAAAGTATGCGAAAAGTATGCAATGTTTTTTTTATCGGTTGTTGGTTTTTGTATTAGATTAGATACATATGTGTCTCAACAGATACATTTACAAATGTGTTAAGTGTGAGGTTGCATATAAGTTGATTATATACCTCCTTCCAATTCTGCTTTTGTTATTATTAGTTAAACAAAATGATCAGTATTTGTTGTAGTCGTACATTTAATTGTATTGTTTTAAGTTATGTTCGAGAGTTCATTGTTAAAAAACATATGAGAAGAGAAATCATAATATATATTAATCAAATATTTTCATTGAATTAAATGTGCTTATTTGTAGGCGATTTGATGGCCTAGATTGGATCTTAGTAATTGGAGTTATTACATTATACTTTAGATTAAGTGATTTGATTAGATTTTGGTTTAGATCGTGTTTTTATCGAGCTTATATACATATATATCTTGTTAATTGCATTGCTGATTCGAGTTTATAGATGATGATTAGAAGATCCAATCCAAGCCAAGCTAAATCATATATTTAATATGCAATGTCCTTGTAGTTGACCTACAGTGTTCATTTTTTGTTTGGCGTGAGTTGAGAATACATGAAATGTATTTCATTTAAAATGATTAGACACAATCTATACACATATACATACAGCTGTGTGTACATATATATATTCATACTTGATTAATGACAGTTAAACAGACAGGACACAATCTTGAATGATGGTGTAAGAGTGACAGAACTAAATAGCCAAAAAAAATATTGTAATTTATTGACGTCTTGGAAATAAAACTTAAGCTTTGCTTTTATACCTAGGCACGATTATCGATATTCATGATTCACAGATCCCTTAAAATACGTATTGCTATTTGATCGAAAGCGACAGTGAGTTAGACTGTGATACTTAAGCCCTGCGATGGCGATATCGATCATTGAAATTATTATTAGGCTAAGCAAACTGAATCAGCCCTCGGGCTGATTGCTCTTATTGATATGCGGAAGTACGAATTTCGCGATATTTTTGTTGATTTGGGTATATGCGAGGTAGGGGGCAACTTACCGGCATGCCTGAATCAATCTGGCCGAATCTTGTGTTTCTCCAGGACTCCAATATGAGAAAACCTGCATAGATTTTACCAACTGAGAGTTTGCCCTTGTTCAACTGATCGATGGGCGGAACCAGCAGATTCAGCATTTTCTTTGCCTGCAATGGCCAGATGTTCGTGATGGTTTCCCTGAGCTCTAGGTCCGCCTGGTCCATTTCCTCAGCTACAGATGTGGAGAGTCCAAAATAGTAGTCAAAAGGTTTTCACATTATATACATGTATATGTATTTGTTTTGTTCGTTTTTTGCTTGTAACTTACGCGCTCGCATCTTAATGCTAAGATTCTCCCGAATCAGAGCGAACAGCGTCGTCGTGAATTGGACTCTCAATTCATCGTCCAATGGCATATTCATACGTATTAGTTTCTTGTAGGCAAGCCGGTTGGGACACTTATTACCGAAGCCCAAGGGCGGATCCATATTTTTCAGCATGTCATACATTTCCGTATAATGTATTCTACCACTATATGAATATCGTTTGTTGTTTGTTGTTGCCAACAAGAATCAGAAAGAAACAGCATAATCAGTTTTTCAATTTTCAAGTGGCCAGACCAAAACAATCTATTCGATGTAACCGAATCCCAGATACACAGAAACACAAGATCAATGTTCGATCTTCGATATCTTGTGAGTTACAACAACAACAACAAAACAGAGGCACAGAGGCAAGAGAACTGAAAATATACTTTGTACAATATTCTTGGAGGCAAAAACCAATAAATAAGTTTGAAGGGGCGAAAAGAAAACACTTGAAACAGAACTGTATCAGTCGATCTCTAGAGGAGATCAGATATACATATATGGAATAACGATTCCAATATAAAACGTATGTAAAGAGGAGGTTACGTCTGATGGGCAAGATGAATCATTGCCAAAGACGAAATTATAAATCGAAATATATATAATAAATATATATATTTGAAAGTCTGAAGAATGCTGAAGATCTTTAGGTTTAATAGAACTGGAGAGATTTGTGTATCAAATAAATAGAAATAATTATCTGTGTGCACGCGTAGCTGTGTTAAGACCCTCGAACGGAATTGATATGAAACAAATACGATCAAATAATAATCATTTAATATTTGTTGGAATCATAGGATTCGAGCGTAAGAAGTAGTGTGAGGTAGAAAGCAAGTTAACAAAATAAAATGGGGTTGGGGTATAGGTGTGGAGAAATTATCAGAGGGTGGATCTTTTGATTGGGTACATATAGAAATAAATGAGTATACATATATTTAGACATATATATATTAAACTGATAATTACGTCGCATTTGGATCATATTCCGCCCATATGCGCACAAATTCGTCTAAGTGATGAGCACCCAATATACTGGAGTCCCTCGTTAGATAATCAAAATTATCCATGATGACGGCCACGAACAGATTCAACATTAGAAATGAACAAAAGAATATAAACGATACGAAATAGGCGTAAGCCAATGTCGAGCCACAGTACTCTCCGGCACCCTTCTCGGCATCATCGTCGCAGGCCTTTCCCTTCAGGCAGGCCAGCATTATGTTTGGCCACGCCTCGCCCGTTGCACATCTGCGTAGTGTTAATCGTCGTCGACAGGTGGGGACAGGTGAGAGCAAACGTGAATGATAGGGATACCAAAAAAACAAAACAAAAAAACACACAAAAATTGCAATCAATTTTCAAGTTTAACCGTGCCGCTCAACAGGATTCGAGTCAGTTAAAGTATGCTCTACGTAAATGCTGATTTAGTACTTATGTATGCATGATAATGGCATTTAGTAAATAACTAAGTACGTATTGCTTGCTTATTTGTTTTCTCGTTTGTTTTCATGTTATACATGTGGGTGTATGTACATGTGTATTTACAATTAACTCAATACATACATACGTATTTACTCAATTTGTTTAAAAGTTTAGTTGTATAGTCATAAAGTTAAATACATACTAAATACGCAATACATACCAACAGCATATACATATATATAGAGATAAATATACATATATATATATATATATGTATGCGTGAGCGTGTCTGTGTTCTAGGATACTTTATCATTGGGTATAGGTATATCCTAGTCGAGCATTTTACTTATAATTGTATATATGTATATATGAATATGTGTATGCTAGAGCAGTTTCAACTACAGTCTTATACCTCTCTTACTTTGGTCAAAAGTTACTTTTTATGTCAATCAACGTTTCTTATATGCATATGAAAATATAAATGGTTATATATGTATATTTGTTATATAGAGCAACAAATAATCTAGTTAACATATAGTATTTAATTTACTATGAAAACTATCAACTAGCATTTTACCTAAGATATAACGGATTATAACATAACTGATCTAAAACTTATCTAGTTTTGTCACGGTATATGATCTAAGATTACACTAGTTTACACAAATGTTTAATTGATTACATTTTTAAATAACACTTTCGACTTATTTCATTATAATATCTTCAACAAAAAATAATAATAATAATAATAATAATAAAGCCAGAAACCTTTTCAGATGTATAAATATTTTGTAATCTGACAATACAAAACTTGTTTTCGTTGGCATACGTTTTGACTAGTCTATACAGATACATACTATTTTGTATAGAATGTCGAAGAAACCTTTCAATTTAGCTGCTTCTCTTGAAATTTATTTATTTTCATTCTCATTTGCTACAAATTTAAACTGACAAATGCTTATCTCTGTTTGAGTTTAGACCATGTCATATAAAAAATAGCAATGTATAGCTAAGAACCGTAACATAAATTGAAGATATTGTCGGAACTAACTTTGAATAAGTAAAAAAATAAAATAAATAAATAAATTCGTCGTAGAGCGTTACTGAGTGCGGAATACTTATCCATTCGCAAAGTGGCCACGCCCCTGATTGATATACACATATATGAGTTTTTTGCAAATCTTTAAACAATATTGTTTCTAGATATAAAACTTTGCCCCAACAAGCATAGATATTATTGCCATATCTTTAGGACTAGTGTTGTCAACGCGAGTATAATTCAACATTTCAACTCTCTAAAGTACAATCACATTCTGCTTTGCCACGCTCCTAGAAAGTGGATCTGGAAAATCGAGCGTATGTTCAAAATTGCAAGTCTCTAGCTGCAATAGCATCGAAATGGCTGGCGTTCACACGGATAAATAAATAGACACAGGGACGGACAACAGTACAGATAATGGACAAAACCAATATACTCATTTTACTTTCGTGAGTGAGCATAAAAATACCATTGAAATTATGAAACATTTTTTAATAATTTCATATTTTGACACATCAATTATTATTTGCCTCGGAACTATTATTTCAGCCAGCAAAAGTCTGACCCAAACTTGAAATAAAATGAAGAGAAACAATAAAAATTTGCTAAGTGTTTCGAGTGCTCAAATGTTCGGCTAGGAGATAGCTCGAGCCCAATTTTAAAGTATCTTAGATTTTGGGAGGGACAACCATGATGAGGTAGGTATTTGTAGGTCCATATATATATACATACATATGCATCCAGTTAAATATAAATATATATGTATGTATATGTATACATAGTAATTAGTATTGAATATGCATGTGTTGTCCTCGCTGTTCATACGTTACCAAGTATTTAGCATAACTACGGTGAGAAACATTTGTCAAAAACTAAAAATAACTTAGCTCAATCAACTTAATTGCAACTGCAACAACTCCAACGCCAACAATAAAAGTGCAAAACTTTGCCAAATTAAATTGCATCTGATAATTTTTTTGTTTTTGTTTTGTTTTGTTTTGGTTTTTGCTTTTAGAAAGACACACACAATCATACATACATGGGAATAGTTTGGTTAATACACATAGGCCAGATATGCATTTCTAGGCATATCTGAAATAACACTAGCAATGATCTATATACACAAAGTCGAAATTCTTAGCTATATTTATTTATTTATTATTATTATTTTTTGTTTTTTTTTTTCTCTATTTGCATCATTCATTGGAAGTACTCAGCTTTTGACTCCTTTCACGTACGTACGGAACAAAAGGAAAAAGAAAACATATTTAAGTGGAAATGCGCATATTGAGGCTAATGAACTCTCTCACGTTACTACGTTTGTATATACTAGTTATGTATGTATGTATTATAACCAAGCTACCATGACTCCGACTAGCCGAAATTCACTGCTACGAATACCATTTACTGCCCTATAGTACATACATACATAGCGACTTAAACAGCGGACATTTACCAGCTTTCAACTGGGTCAACTACAAGCCCACTTGAGCAGAATCAATTGGCAAATTTCAGTAAAAATAGGGAATATGTAGTTATTTTGTTATACTCATTCACGTTGCTGAGATGAGTATATTGGTTTTGTGCAATGTCCGTATGAATGCAAACCATTGACGGAAAACGGAAATTGGATCTGGCAGCATTTGGGCCGTGAATGAGTATTCTGCAATCGGTAACGCCCGACTGAATTGCTCTTACATGTTTTTTATAAAGATCTAACCAAAATGGTTTAGATAATTTAGACAAAAGTAAGTTGAAGGTCTATTAAAATCATTTTTATTATTTTTATATAACTTAATCATTGTAAAAAGTAAAACTTGATTCATCAAAATATTTAAATGGCATATGCTAAGAACTGTTAAAAAATTAAAAAAAAAAAAAAAAAACAAATTTATTAATTAAGCCAGACTTGACAGATAACATCGACTTCACAAGAAGTTTTGAACAGAAAGTTGAAAATTAAATCATCTTAAGGGAAGAGGATTACTTGCAAATATTGTGACTACTTCTTTAAAAACATTGTTGCATAGGTTACGCCAGGAAATCACACCTACAAACATAGTGTAGTCCTTATTGGGCAAACAGCTTTTGGTCTGTCAACTTTAACTACAGCTCGATAGGATTTTGTATACGTAATCAGTTGAGTTTGTGAGTTATTCCAAATTTGAAGTTGTTGAACAGAGAGATTTGGACTTTGGGGCTCGGGTACATTCTGAGAGCTGGTAAATGTCCTATGTATGTTTTTGTTTTTATCTACTTTCCTTCTCTTCCAGTTTTCCTTTTTAGAATACAAAATTATGTAATACTAGAAACGAAAAGATAAGTTGGCTGTGAATTCTAGTTATGTATGTACATTATGTATATATCTATATATATATATATGTAGTTGCATGATGACAGTTCTACTATGGCTACACTGGCCTACACAACCAAGACTCTTGCACCGAGAGATAAGTCTACTTACGCACTGGCATAAAGCTTTGATTGTCGCAGTGATAAATACTTAGTTTCGACTATAAGAGACTGAAATGTACAGTAATTTGAGATCTCTTAGAGGCTCGTACTCTCTTTCTTCTCAGCTTGATTGGCGCGGCGTCTCGTGATTGTCGAGAACCTAACCATGTTGGTTTTTGCTAAGGATCTAAGCTATGTATGTTGTTAAGAATAAACTTGCCTAGGTTAATTGATGCTATCTAGTTTGCTAGAACAAACGATTCCTAGTTTCCCATTAATAGTTTTAGAAATATATAGTATGTATATAGTAAAATACTACAGTGGGGTTGGCCAGCCAACTGCATCACGACGAGAACAGAACTCTATTAAATATTATTATATGTTTATTTATTAACGTTAAGGTAGCTTGTATGTTAAATGTGGGACTATAACTATGTATATGGATATACATATGTATATATACATATATATTTCTTAAATCACATATATATATATGTAGATATACATCGGTATATATATGTAGGTACTTATTATTTGTCTTAACTATGGAAAATCGAAAATTTGCTTAAGAAACAGTTTAGTTTTGTATTAAGTCTAGGCGATTAGTCGGAGGAGTTTTTATGATTTACATACCTGAAGAGCAACATGACGCCTTGTTCAAATGACTGGAAGTTGTTGTGCCTAGTAATAGAATTTTCCACTGTACCTAGTTTGATATTTCCGAATACCTATGCACGATTCAAATATCGGTAAGTAATATTAATTATTTGCATTTGTATTTGTTGCTATAAAATGTGAAAATTTCCTTCAACACGTAACACATTTTCGCCCTTGAACAATTCTCCTCTTCTGCTCTTAAAGACATTTGACCCACAGTTGCTGAAACACATTGCTCATATAGCCACCTACTTTACTGCACTTTGGTTTACGCTTCTCTTGCTTTACACGAAATAGGTGAATATAATATAGGGGTTTGCTTATCAGAGATATGGATACAAATTCAGGGATACCTAATGCAAATAATACGAATATAAATGCTTATATGGGTATATAGATGTGTTGCAGAGGGTAAATCAAACCAAACCAAATGAAATCAAATCAGAACAGATAATGATAAAGTGCCTCCTGATTCGTACCAAACTTGAATGAGATTTGCTATAAATTACGAGGTATTAAATGGATTAAGAAATTGAAAGGTATTTAAATAGAGGTAGAAATTTGCTTTAACCGAACTCTAACGCAACATTATTAATTTGCAAATCAATCAAGCCACTAGATTTCTAGCAAATTGCAAGCCGTTAACCGCAAACCGTCAAATGTTTCTTACAACTTATGTGTATATTGATTTTTTTAAGTGTATTATACATTTGTATTTTGCTCGAATGCCAAACGAGAATGCCAGTGAGCAAAACTTGCTGCAACGATAATGTTATAACAAATGAAGATGTACAAGATACTATGCTATACTAGTTAGCTATATTAACTACCGCGAGCTCGAACTACAACTGTAGCTAGTTACAATTTCAATTTCAATTTCAAATCCAAATTCAATTTCAATTTCAATTTTCAACTCCAACATTTGCATACAGTTAAAGCTAATGATGAATGAGCGCATTGTGTCGTCGAGCGAATCAAACGAGTTTACAAATTACTTAGTTATGCTTGTGAATGTGAGTTAACTACATACAAAATGCTTTCAAAGCCATCTCAAGTCACAAAGGACACGCCAGATTGAGCGGATGAGAAATGCAATTTATATTCGAATCATAATCATTCGTTGCGTTCTCTTTGTGACTTGCTGAATGTGAAATCAACTGTTATTGACTGTTAGAGTTTATGTAACGTATATATAGTAAATATATATATGTATATATGGATATAGATATATATTTGGTAATTGGGGTACGAGAATGTCCTCTCAATTCGAATTCGATTTCAATTCAATACTAATAATAGTAGTTACAGTTACAGTCGCTAATACATGAATGAATACGAATATGCGCTTTGTCTGTTGGTTGTGCCGTATCGTTAATAGACACTAAGAGTTACTTTAGGGTACAACCGTATTCTTCGTTTACCGAAAGAGCAGCATGATTCCTCCAGAGAACGATTGGAAGTTATTGTGACGATTCAGTTGGGTGTCCGGATCATATTTAATGTTGCCGAATACCTTTCAGTTTGTGAGATATTATAATTGATTTAGATTATTCATTACATGTTGTATAACTAAATTCCTAAATTGACATCTATATAGAATGGCATATATATATATATATATACATACAAATATCTACAAATTCATATGTATGTATATATATACATACAAATATCTACAAATTCATATGTATGTATATATATATTTATTTATATATCGAACGCGCTCTTTGGAATCGGCGTGAACTACACCCTCTACACCCAAAATGTACCTATTCAAAATCAAACATAATAAAAACACTAGTCACTACAGCTAGACTTTTAGCTAAATCAAAGAAAACTTTCAGCTTCGCCTATGCTAACATTGAATTCAGATCGGGTGTACGCCCTATTGTGCGTATCTAAAGATTAGTTAGTTTTGTTTGTAATATGTCAGACTAACTGCTAGGTGTTGTATGATGCTTACAGACTAGATTGTGGTGAGAATGAAACAATACAAAACAGAGAGAAAAGAAAGAGAAATTATTGTATTTGTGTGTGTGTGTGTGTTCGAAACGATGATCAAATGATACCAAAAATATATGTTCCCTAACTTTAGGTTTGTTCAAAGAGCTCCCACCACGTCTTATGTTGGCTATATCACCCGAAATCTGATCATGAGCAACAACTGTTCTAATGTGTTATACATTCGTGTTTCAATCGCGGTTCACATATTTTTTTGTAGTTTCTTTTCTTTAGCTTAGTTTCTCGTAACACTCAAAAGACAAACTGAGCTTCCGAGGCTGGGGAACACAGACTTACCTGCATGCCAATAATGGCGTATATAAAAAATAGCATTGCAATAAGCAAACAAACATATGGAAGTGCTTTAAATGATTGTACAAAGGTCCACAGGAGAATTCGTATTGTGTATCCTTGTCGAAGCAATTTGATAAGACGCGCCGCACGAAACAAACGCAGGAAGCCAACGTTGATTGAGTTCGACTGTAAAATATTATTGGTCAAAGGGCGAGAGAGAGAGAGAGAAAGAGAGAGAGAAAAAAAACGAAGAAAAACAGAAAATAAGGAGAGCAGATTAGAGAGATGGTGTATCGTTGTGAAACCGATGAGTTCAGATATATTCGAGGCGAGTTGCCTAGGGGAACCCTTCGAATATAGTCTCAGGTTTAGTTTCATCTTTTTGTTTTTTTGTTTTTTTCAAATTGGTTCGTTAGTTCTTAGTAGCAGCTAACAGTAAGAATAGTAGTAGTAGTAGTAGTAATAGTAGTAGTTATAGTAGTATTAGTAGTAGTTATAGTAGTTACTGTAGTAGCAGTAGTAGTTATAGTAGTAGTTATAGTAGTAGTAATAGTAGTAGTAGTAGTATTTATAGTAGTTTTATAGTTATATTAGTAGTGGTGCAGTAGTAGCAGCTGTTGTAGGTTCTAGTTAGTTGGTGGTACTAGCAGCTAGTACATAATAAAAAGTACATACATAATACATATTGGTAGTTAAGTAAATTAGTAGTTGGACTGGTTAGTAATGACCGAATCGTTAAAAATATAATTGAAGAATTTTGAATGGGTTAGTAAAAAGTTGAAATTGAAATTTACCTTTTCTATATAGTATATATAGTTATTAATTACAAAATAATTACAATCAAATTTGCATAATAGGTATGTTTACTCAGATATAGTATATATATAGAGAGAGAGATAATAATAATAACAATAATGATAATAATAATAATAATGATAATGTTAAAGGAAAATCGTAGATTCTTTCCAACAAAATGCTAAATAAAATGTGTTTCAAACTGTTTGTACCTTAATCAAAATACAGCAAATGCAAATATACATATGTTTTGTTTGAATCGAAATTTTGTGTTTTTGTTTTCGTTAAATTTGATCAAAAAACTATTGAGAAATTGCTGTTATCAAATATTAAGTAAATTGTAGTCTGTTTCTGTATGTGATTGTGCGTGTCTGCATGTATGTGTGTGTGTGTGTTAACTACCACACCAATACAGCGTAACATGTGCATTTTTTTTTTTTTTTTTTTTTTTTTTTTTTTTTTTTTTTTAAGATGCTGATACTAATTACAAAACAGTTTTGAAAATGTGTCAAGTATTTGGGCCTTGGGTTGAAAATTTCTAAACAAAATTTGAAATTGTTTTTGTTGTTTTTATTGTTTTTGTACTGTACTAAACTATTTGGGCGAGTTTTGGTTCAGTCGAGGTTTTAGTTTTTGCAATGGAAAAGACAAAAGCATAACGGATACCATAATATACATAAAGACAATTTTTCATTACGAATAAAAAAAGCAAAAAAGAAGAAAAAATTCCATTTTATTATTATCCTGTATGTACATTTTTTTTCTTTTTCATTTCGTTTCTTTTGTTGTTATTTGTACACGTTTCATTATTCAAATTGTTATTCATTTTTTTCTGTTTTTTTTTTTTTTTTTTATGTGTAAATGTAAGTTTAAGCAGTCAAGAAGTGGGGACAAGTTTGTTAGTTCGGTGTTCGAAGACATTTGAGGGACCAAAAACACAAACACAAACGAGAAAACGAAAATATAAACCGATTTCAAAACTTTGACCAAAATATTTTACTAATCAGCTGTTGTTGCATAATATAATTTACAAACAGTGCACATCTATATATACAGACTGGAATGGCGGTCACAGCTAAGTCACGGTCACGGTCACGGTGACAGTGGGAGTGGCCAAAACGTTTGTATATATAGATGTGCCTTGGCAACCCGCTGACTGGGGCGACGCATACCGCCTCGACGTGGCCTCTACGTAAATAGTTAAGATTAGAAAGTAAAACAGTTATAGATGTATATATATATATATATAGAAATATGTGTCTGTGTGTGTGTCTGTGAGAGTGTGAGTGTGTGTGGTACAATTATCGTTGAATAAATATGTACATATGTATATGCGGATTGATTTACATAGATGTAGTTTACAACAATACTCTGTTGCTATCGCTATAGTGAAGCAGTTGGGAAGATGGTGCGAGTGGATGACATTAAGAGAATAAACTAAGCTTGACATTGATTCGATCCGTTAAACGTACATAAGACGTGTATGTATACAAAAAACATGGCCAAGACTTATTCGAAACCTATTGGACGGCGGGGGGAAAAAACTAGAATTCGATTCGATTCGACTTGATTCGATTCGATTCGAATCTTCACTAACATGATGGGATATAAGCATTATTAATGAAAAAATATATAATATATATATATATATATATATATATATATATATTTATAAAAAGAGAGGCAGAGAGAGAGAGAGAGAGAGAGGAGAGCAATACGATTCGTATATAATATAGTTTGGAATGCCAAAATTACATCTTGGCCAATATCCATACCGAAGGGTAACAGCACTACGATAAATGATAAGGTTTATGATTTGTTGTCTGTTCACTAGAATATGTTCAGCTAATGAGCAGCTAAATACATATACATATGCAACATATACATGTATGTATGTATGTATATATACATATATATGTATGGGTGTATTCTCGATAGTTTCAACTACGGAAGAGCAAAACATCAACGATGCGATGTGAATATAGTTTCGGAATAGTTTTGGATATACTTAGTAAAGTAAACGTTTAGCTAATTTGCTAATTGATATAAGTTCTTTCGATTTCAGTCGTTGTTAAATACATTAATATAGTAATTGGGGGAGGAAAACAAGAGAACTAACGCAAAAGACAACAAAATATAGAGAATAGATTTCTTTAGGTTTTGGTTTGTTTACTTACATCCTGTTGGATAGTCAGATAAACCATATTCAATTTGAAATTTATGTGGATTCGGATTCGTATTCGTATTCGTATTTGGATTCGGATTCGGTATTTGTGAATCAATTGATCAATCAATTAATAGAACCGCATTGTGCCCGGTATTTTGTATTTCAGAACAATATCGAGTACGGCAAATCCAAAATTTGCACAGATTGTTTTTAGTGTGTTTCGGTTTCGACAGCAGCCAAAGGATGATTCGATTCGATTCGATTCAAGACAGTTTCAACGATAATGAAATGTGTGATTTGCAGTGTTTTTGCAGTGTGGTCAAACGTTGATTCATTTTGTCAAATATTATAGGGTATATTTTGTTGTTATTCATTTTATTATTTTTTTTTTTTTTTTTTTTTTTTGGTATTTAATATATATTTATTATTTTGTTGTTAATTTATATGGAGTAGTTTTATTTGCCATAACGAGTACGTATTGATATGGTTTTTTTTATATATATATAATTTGTTTCATCGAATTGCAGTTTTCATACGATGTTGTTGGCGGCGTTAAGGACAGTCGATTTAGTTTTTTTTTTTTTTGATTATTTTCCAAGAAAAAATAACAAAGAAATTAATAAAGTAGAGTTGAAAATTAGTAATAATAGTTGAATTGAATTTGTTGCAGTTGGCAAATATATATATAGAGAGAGAGAGAGAGAAATCAATGAAAATTTGTGAACAGAATTAGTATTCGTGTGTTTTGTGGTATATGTTCATGTTTTTTGGTTGGTATTTGTTTTTGTTTTTGTTTATATATATATCGTTTCATATCGCGCTGCTGCTCTATCAAGCCTTGTACGTCTCTACCTTTAACTACGTATGAATAGTTGTTGTACTGGATCTTAACTGAGTGTTAACTGCAAGCTAATGGACAAGGGCAACAAGTATTGTGCATCACATGATGACACCGAATGATGGGACTTACATACCTGAGGCAGTGGTCGAAAAATATACATACATATATATCTAAATATGGTATTGTTGTATGTAAATCTCTTAAAGTATCGTGTGAACAAAGCAAAGTTATACAGCAGCTTAAGCCTAACAGCACCCAATGGCATTCAGAGGGAACTTCATCAAGTTGCAGCATGCATCGTATCAATCTAATCAAGTGGTAAAGGTTCGTACTTGCATCATAACACTAGACTATGGACTACAGTTTATAAGGAGCAGTTTATCGGCAAGCCAACTCGATGGATCGATCGATCGATCGATTGGGACGATTGCGACGATCTTAGCATATGAAGACAGCAAAGAAAAAAAAACATATTCAGGCTTATTGAAGGAGGTATGTCAGTCAGATGTAGAATCTTCAGAAGAGATAGAGAATTAACACTAGTAAAATATTGGAAAGTGGTTGTAGACCCGTAGTTGGTTTAGAGGGGATAGTGGAAAGCTCTACATTCGAGGCACCTAGTTAAAATAATTAAAAGTAGTTAGAGTAGGCAACAATATATATGAAAAATATATATTCTTGCCATGTGCTGAGAAGCGAGACACTCTAAGTATCCATATGGAGCTTACATCATGCGAGCATGTTTGCTATATACAGTTTATAGAGGATATACACAAGTATATATTTGGTATTTAAGAAAGTCTTTGAGTGCACATAGATGTTGGAATGGAAGTCCTTGAATCCAATATTACTATTACTTACATTCGCCACGCTTGTCAGCTAAATAAGTCCACTTACACAGTTACACACAATCGATATCGTATCGATATTTGTTGAATTTATCGATATTAAATTATAGTTTGGTATTGTATTGGCACTGTAGTTGGGACTGTTCGAATCGAGTGTCTCACTTAGTGTGCGTGTGTGTGTGTAAGTGTGTGTGAGTGTCATCAATGCGTTTTTGAACGAGTTTCAAGTTTTCAGTTTTCATTGCAAGTTTCATGTTCAAGTATAGAAAAAGCTTTGTATTTCTCATGTTAAATAAAAGAATGCAGGCTCGGGTTTTTTGTTTTTGTTTTTTTTTTTTGTTAGATCGATCAATCAAATCCATGCGCAAATACTGAGCAAAAAGAAGGTGAAATAGAACAACTGTTGCATAACTTCACGTAACTAAAGGTAAAGCGCCTGAAAATCTGCTTCATTTTCTCTCTGCTGTTTGAAATGTTTGTTCATTTATATAGCAAAGGCAAAATATCATATTAAATACTAGAGTGAAACATTGTATATACATATAGAAGGAAATATTTGAAAATAATGATTAAAATCGATTTCATTTAATGCTTAAGGCAGACCATCTGATCTCTTGATCTTGGACTTTTGCCAAATACATAAGAAAATAATTGAGTGCGAGTTCGAATTGTCTACAAAACAACAATCGGTATAGTGTGAAGTATATGCAAGTCGTCCGTCACAAAGCAATTGTTAAATCGAATTTCTAATCAAATCATAAATATTTATGAAAAAGGAAATAAGAAACTAAAGAACGTGACACCCATCCAGCCGCTTTATAAGTTCATCTACCAACTTGACTACAGACTTAGACACGCAATTTAAAAGAGAAGTAGATACAATCGCAATTTGGTGTGCTTCGCAACAGAAAATGGGAAAAATCACAGAAATACTATGTATGTATATAGGCGCAACGGAAGGAAACAAAGAAGTTGATTGAAACAAGGCAAACGAATTGTGTTCGGCGAACCGAAAATCCAAATACCCCTACTATCATATACATATATATTTATGTATATCGGGTAACATCGATCGATGATCTTTAAAACTGCTCTATACTAAAAAAAAAAAAAAAAAAAAAAAAAAAACAAAGTAGCAAGAAAATTAGAAATATACAAAATTAATTTCACTGACCAACTCTTTGGCTCTCGCCAGCTAGGAAAATTACATAGCTCTATCAAAACTATATACGGCATCTCTTTATATTATATGGGAAGTTGGAAGCTTAAAGCTTTAAAATTCCTTGAATATAGGAAAAAAATTTATTGGTGCCAGAGGCAAATGTAGAGATATACTCTACAGCAAATATCTTTTATAGGAATATATAGTGATCTTTTTATATAGAGATCTTAAAAGCTTTTATAGCAAATATGTTCGATATGAATATATGATAGCAATATTTATACCTAGAGACTTTAAAAGCTTTTATAGCAAGTATGTTTCATGTGAGCTTATGATAGAGATTTATATCGAGAGATCTTAAAAGCCTTTACAGCAAATATATTTCACATGAACTTATAATGGATATCTTAAAAGCTTTTGTGACAAATATATTTATATGCATCAATAATTCGAGCTATACGAAATTATAGTTAAACTTGTTATCTATATACAACTTATTTTCAGAATCAGAGTCACATTTATATAGGTATACAGCTATAAATATATACTATATATATATTTGATAATTAGTTTACTCAGTTTCATTAAGATTAAAATTGGGAGTTAATATTAATTGTTAGACTCGCCGCTGTTAAATGATAGTAGATAGAAATAAATGCAACTCTTTAATACAAATGTGTGTGGGCAAATTGTTTAGTGTGTGTGTGTGTGTAAGGTCGTGTGTGTGTGTACGTGTGTGGAGGAGAAAATGAATAGAGAATGTTATGGAAAAGTATAAAATCTAATAAGCTTAGTTTAGGTAAGTAAGTGAAAAGTGCTTAGCAGTAAAAGCGAAAGCTAAATCATTTGACTTTTTGTACACATAGTAGGATTTGGAAAAATGCAATTTCTGTGTAGATTGTGTTTCGTACTTACATCGTGCTGTTGGTGTTGAAATTTGTTGTACATGTCGATGTAGTTGTTGATGAGTTATACATATACAGATATATATGTATACATATATTGAGATATATATACATATATATATGGATATATATGTATGTATGCATATGTGTGTGCCATTTGGTGTGTGTGCGTGTGCGTGTCAACACATACACACATATTCACACACACATGCATGCATAGTAATAATTGTTGAATGACAACATGTTTGTAATACAATTCAATTTGTTGATTGGGTTCGTTTCATATTTCATATCGTGGTATTAATTTTGTTCGGTGAATTTGTTTTTGTTTTTCATTTTTTTTTTTTTTTTTTTTTTTTTTGTTGTTTTTGTTTTATTTTTTTGTTTAATACAAGTTGTGATTGGTGATGAACGAGTTAGTTGCATATTCATTGCATTTGGTATTTGGTATTTGATATTTGGCATTGGTGTTGTAATTACATAGTACATGTGTGAGTGTTTTTGTATTTGTTTTTTAATTGTTTTTTGTTTATAATTTTTGGTTATTATTGATATAGATATATATATGCATATATCGTGTTGGGCAGTGATAAACGTGATGGTTTTTGTTTCCCGATGGCCAATTTATATGTGGGAATATTTATTGATAGGAGGCATTTGTATAATATAATTGATGTTTACATACATATATACATATACATACATAAATGGATGTACCGACACACACACGCATGTGAGTGCATGTACATAATGTATATACATGTACATAGATATGCAGGTAATGCGTATAGATTTGCATGTGTTACATAATTCATACATTAATATATATGTGAAGGGTGTACATATTTTTGTTTGATTGCGTGAGTGTTTTATTTTTTTATTATATTTTTGCATTCATCATTTTTTTTTTTTTTTTTGGTTTGATTCGGATTTGGTTTTCCCGATTTTGAGACCACATTTCGTATTTGGTAATCGTTTTCGTACACAAATAAATATGAAAAAGGAAATCAAAAAGAAATATGATTATTAATTTCTGTATTTCGTGGGAGTTTATAAAAGAAATATTAATTTTTTTGTTTGTTTTTGTTTCTGTGTTAAATCAAAGGTAAATTTGTTATTAACAATTTCTTGTGTGCCTGTGCTTACATATAGTACATTTATATATATAGTATATATATAAACAGCAGTGTCAGATGTTGTCTATAACACACTCCATAAGGATTGCAAGTGACCCTGAGGTAGGCAGTAGATGAGATAAGTATATCTATAATATAAATACTTAAAAGTCCTATCCCAAAATATTTAGTATGAGATTATGATTATGAATAGATGATAATCACCCAAGAAATTTACCCCACCAAAGGTTTTCCCCACTCTCTTAAATAGGTCAAAATTCGTGATATTATTCACGGGTGCTTCAACGTTTCATACACATATATACTCTGAATCGAAATCACCTCAATTCATCATTAATAGTTAACTTAAAATTCATTTTTGCATATGTCATATACTCTCTCATTCACATGTATCGTCCGTTCGTTGAAGATCACACTAGTCCGTTTATTGCATAGAATTGTGACTTAAATACATATGCACGTCAGTTCACATTAACATGTGTACGTGTGTATATAGATATATACATCTTGTGTGGGTGTATATGTTTGCATATTTGTGATTTTTGGTATTCACATGAATTGTGTTCGGGTTCGAGTATCTTGGTAAAAGAACCAAACAAAAAAGAACACAAAATGAAATATATATATATACTTTGTTGTTTAACTTATGAATTACATTGTTTGTTTGTCTTGCAAAACGGCCTACATAAATCGAACACAACAATAATATGTATGGCTCATAGTTTAAGCTCGTGCTGAACAGCATATAATTACCCCGAATTCCATCCAGAGAGCATCCACAATGCTGCCCAATACCGTAATTAGATCAAAAATGTTCCATGGATCCTTGAAAAAGTTCTATAAAACAAATGTTTTAAAATATTATTTAGCGTACTTAAGCTTAGATATATACGTAAGCAAAGATCTCCCCATGTACGTAGTGAAAATTCTAGCAGGAGACGATCAGAGATCAGAAATTAGAAATCAGAGATCAGAGACCACAGATCAGGGATTAGAGGTGAAAAATCATAGATCACAAATAAGGAATTAGAGATCAGAGATTAGAAATTAAAAATCAAAGATTGAGGATTAGAGATTATAAATCAAAGATTAGAGTTCAAAGATTTGAGATCAGAGATCAAAGATTAGAGGTCAGTGATCAAAGATCAGAGATAGATAGATTAGAATTTGAATGACTATATAGAGTGGATCGAGGTGTCGGGTAACTTCTAGTCGGATACATCCAACAGGAAAACTCCTATATGATATAGGAAAGCCTTACAACTATTCGAGAAAATTTATAACTCGAGCTGAGCGTCACATATTCAACATAAATGATATGAGTTTTCATTCATTTTTATATAGGTTTACTTGAACCTATCTTCCCTCTTATAGATACCCCACCCATTAAGACTTAATGTTTAGCAATAATGCTGAGTTTAAATAATATTGAGCTGGAATACTTATGTAACTTACCTTGAAACCGAATCCAATTATTTTTAGAACAGTTTCAACACTGAACATGCCTGTGAATCCCATGTTGATGTATTTTAGTGACTTTTCGTACATCTCGCTTTGATTATGATACTGTTGAGATGATGTTTGTATATGATTAGTCTAGAAATCTTCTTGACAGTAAAAATACAAAGGATGTCTAAAAGACCCTTGACAAAAACTTTGCTACTTTGTTCCTTTTCAGAATTCAATATTACGTATATTGAGTTGATGAGTTGTGTGTCTTTGTAGAGAGCTCTGAATATCTCCTGATAATTATAATTTATGTTTTGAATACATTTTTAGAGAAACTTTTAAATAAAGTAGATTTCATTCTTTTTTTGAGAAAGTTTAGTATTCCAACTAGAACTTATATCATTCAGTCTATCAAAACCAAGAAATTAATAAATGAAACTCATTTCGAATATATCGGTATATATATTGCAAGATTCATATAAAGTGCTTTGCACAATGGTATTGGGATTTAAATATTATGAACATCATTCTAAATTGAAATCTTCTATTTATGTCAACTATAATGAATACGTTTCTCTTACTCATCAGAGTATTCTCGTATATAATATACCGTATTAGTATTCATATTCGGCAATCATGAATCAGTAACTTACCTTCATCATTAACAACAGCGTATTGAACACAATCAGCATCATTATAAAGTATTCGAATGGTGTAGAGACAACAATGCGCCACACTTTATACTTGAAAGTATTTCGATTTTTGGGCATATATCGCTCAAGTGGCCGAGCTCCGATCGTAAAATCAATGCACGATTTCTGTGGGAAAAGAGACAATTAAATAATACCACATGCGAAACTTGAAACAAATTGTGTAGAGCTAAACATTTTATAATTTGCTATAAATTATGTCCAGCACCCAATGCAAATTGTGAACTGAGAACTGAGCTGACAGCTATAGAAGGCTATGTCTTCAATAGCTGTATGTCAAGTATCAACTAAGCTTCTTAATGCTGGCGACAACTAATCTACTAGCATCTTTAATAGTCTGTTGAGACATATGTTACATGTCTTAAGGTCTCATAAAATAACAAATATATTGATACTCAAAGTGATGAAAAAATCTAACAATTAGTTTTTGATCGAAGCTAGTTTTAAGTAGAATTGATCGAGAAATATTTTAAAATACCCATTTCTGACTAGCACGGAGTATCTTAGGCTGTTTCGAAATTCATTGAATGAATTTCATGAAACTATGTTAAGACAACTACAATTTTTATAATTCTTCAAGTACAGGGTATAAGAAATATATTTAAAAATATTTGGTAATGCCTATCTATTAAGAGGTATTCCTAATTATACTTTCATTTACTCAATAACTCATTCTCTCTACTCTGTTGACTAGATGAAGTATCGAATTCTAATGAACCAAAAGGTTTCTATAGTGAGACAGACGTATATAGTAGCTAAATTGACGCAACAGTTGAACCAGATTAAGAAGTTTTTATACATATATTATATAGGATCCATATTAAAAATTTACGTATATTATATAGGATCAGCTTTAGTCACAGTCCTTTGCAATGGGTGCAGGCTATGGTATATAAAGATGAATGTATAAAGTCTGCTCGCTAATGAGTTTTACACAATATTGATCGGCCCAATTGAAATGTTTATTCATAAGCTACTAGGTGAGATGCATGCCAATCAAAACAAGATCATGGAAAAATTTTGCATTTTTTGTGCAATAGTTGAATCGATTCCAGATGTGACTTGGTGCCTTACTATAATTTATATACATATGTAGGTCGATATAGTTACATTGGAAATAATAATATATATGTGTTTTTTATATATAAATCGATAGCTAATAAATAATAGAAATGCATATCAATTGGTTATGTCGGATATCGCCTTTATAAGAGATATTGCTGGCTTGATGGCATACTTACAGTGTCGACCGTATTGTTATTCAGCAACGAATTGATATAGCTTATGACATTACGATATTAATCGTTAAATATTCATGACTGAATATTTAAGGACTATCGTGAGTATTATCAAAAATCTCTACTTTCCGGTAAATGTTCACTCTCTATATATATTCAATGGGTCTCTAATGATGTCTTATATACAGATTCCGATCGATATATTAACCCTAGCTAAATGTGCCCTAAGGCCTATGCCATGATAGCTAGATAGATGTATTTACATCTTGAGTTTAAAACTAGTTTTGCAAAAAGTTTCCAAAACAAAAGAAAACTAAACTATTCTACGCTTGATTCCAAAGGGATTTGCATACGAGAATTGCTTTTTATCGGTTCATATCATATTATTACTATATAATGTCTTATTTGAGAGAGAATTTCAAATGTTTTCAGCCAAAAAAAAAAAAAAAAAACAAATCTCGCATGTTAAACGCAATATCTAATATGTATCCGCAAGGCAGGGCAGGGACAGGGCTAAAGCCAGGGGTCAGAAGAGTTGTATATAGAAGATATAGTAGAAGGCAGAAATTGGAACGATTTGTGGGTGTTGGGCTGGAAGGGAGTTGGGCAGAGCCCAGGCAGAGCGATCAACGTTTGCCGATCAGTGTGTTTTCGGTTGTAGTTAGTATTTGAGTTTGGCTAGCATACATATACATACATCAATGGGTAACTATCTAATAGAGGTAGCATGTACATGTATGGGTATCGTTGTATGTATGTGTGTACATTTACGTGCAGATACATAGATAATTGTTAACGACTATCAATTTTACGAGTAATGAAACACACACACACATAAAAGCATTGTTTGAGTTTCGATTTTGTTGTATTTTTAGTTTTTAAATTTTGTTTATTTTTGGTTTTTTGTTTTGTAAAAATTTTGATTGTCTCGCTCACCTGATTTTTGTCAATTTCACCATCTTGCAATTCAGCTTCGCCTTGCTCTTGAAATGTTATGATAATCAAGGCGACGAATATGTTGACGAAGAAGAATGGAAATACAATAAAATATACTATATAAAAGATGGACATTTCGATCCGGAAATTTTGGATTGGACCCCTATCTTCATAAGTGGCAGCCATTGAGTGTTGCAAGACCCTATTGGACGGTTACCATTTAGCAACATTTTAGTGTGTGTGAAGATAGCACAAAACAAACAAAAAAGTAAAAGTAACAATTCATTATTCACCATCCGCACTCGCTTAACAGAACAGCACAATATTTAAATCATTATCATTATTATCAGTATCAGTATCAGTATCAGGTGAGTTAAATCATACAAGTCAAGGAAAAGCACAAATCAAAACACACAAATCTTAGAGCAAACTGAGCTTACTGTGGCCATCCCTCGCCGGTCTGTACGGCGAACAGCGTCAGCATAGCAGCGGCGACATTGTCGTAGTGGAAGCTGCGTGGCTTCCACACGCGCATCTCCTGTTTGGGCAGCAGTTCGTCTTCCTCGTATTTGAAATACGAACCCCTTTTGTGGGTTGGGTTGGGTTGAGTTGTCAATGGATTGCATATAACATTATATGTTGATGTTTGGTTTATGGTGTGTTCGAATTTAGTTATTATTTGTTTTTTTTTTTTTTTTTTTTTTTTTCGATTATATATAAAATTGGAATCAGAATAAGAAATCAAGTTACAAAAAAAAAATTAAAAAATAAAATAAACACACACACTACATATATGAAATGATAAAGTCAAATTCAGTTGAAGAACATTCATTGTATATGTGAGAACATATTTGCTAAAAGTCAGATGTGTGTGGGTGTGATAGACATAGAGTGTGTATGTATGTATGTAAGTGTGCGTGAATATATACATAGATCTAATAAATAGATATAGCACAAATAAGTTTCTATAGCGATAATAATCTTGACGTATTTAGGTAAATATTGCACAACAAAAATATAAACAGATTCTTATGCATGTATGTTGAAATGCATGTAGGCAGGTATGTACGTATGTACGTATGCATTTATGCATGTAGCTGATGGATGATGATTCGTGTGTTCTGCAATTGTATTATTTGTAACAGTATTTAAATTTGTCTAGCTGTAGCCCAGAACAATCCAAATCAACACTGCACAATCTCAGCAGGCGTACAAAGAAAAGAAATGTTCGAAAACCTAATGCATATCTTTCAGATACAGATACAGATACAGCTATAGATATTGTAATTGATATTGATATTGATATAGATTCTATATCACTTTGCTGTAGACCCACAGGCCAAGTGTGTTTGGTAGTGTATTGCTCAGTTCTGGCTGCTTGTTTGCTCGGCGATGTGTAACAAGAAAGCTGCGCTTGCGATGTCTGGAAGCAATTTTGCATAGCGATCAACGTGATCTAACGGTGCGAGAGAGCTCTACATATAGAAATATAAGCGTGTTCATAGATGAGAAGGATGTGCGTGTACATATGTTGTGGATTTTTGTATCAATTTGAATGTCAATCAGTTGGAAGCAGCCACAGCCGCAGCTACAGCCACAGCATCAAATAATAATTAAAATAGTTCCTCTTCCTCGCACTTCCCTAGCAGTTCGATCTCAACGTGGGCTTTCTTTTCTCGATTTGTTGCCAATGTATATAAGAGTATATATATATATAATGTGGGAACTGGTTTGAAATCTGCTTATCAGTTGTAAATGCGACTAGTCTATACGTATCTAGTAGGTAGTTAGAAAGAAATGTTAGATAGATAACATATATATTTACATATTTAGTATGTATGAGAAAGTATAAATAGACGTTAGAAAAATTCAAAAAAGTTGAGAGAAATGGCAAATTAAAAGGGAGCAGATTGTTGAAAACTAGTCTCCGATATGATCAATCAGGGCTGAGCTAGGTTGGGTTAGGTTGATTGGTGGTTCACATGATATACGTGTACTACGAGAGATTGGAGTTTGGAACACGACGAGATCTACATTAAAATTGAAACGATTTGTGATACTATTTGGTACGTGTACGCGGATACAGACTTATTAAGAAATCTTCTGGTAGTAATATGGACTCTTTGGTATTTGGTAAAATACCCAATTGTTAAGAAATAATATTGATATAGATATAGATAGATAGTAGTTATTTACATGCTAAACGCGATCGGCAGTAAATTCTTGAATTGAATTGAATTGATTTGTCTGATTTTTTTGGACTTTGGATTTTGGTGTAGTTAGAAGGCAACAGATACAGAAAAATACATTGATCGAGTTAACGGATTAACTAGAAAATCATATAGAATAAAACTAGAAAGGTCTTTCATTCAGGTGGCATTTGTAGTTTCGCATTTCAGTTCTGATCAATGGATTTACAGATATATTTTTTTTTCTTCTTTTTTTTTTTGTTGAGTTTCCATTAAATTTTTTTCTTTTTGCTGTTTGTCTTTCGTTCGTTTTTTTTTTTTTTTTTTTTGCTTCGTTATTAAATTCACATATTTATGTTTATCGTTGTGTTTTTTCTTTTTTTTTATATTTTTGTTTTGTTTTTGGCCCTTTTACTCGCTTGATTGTGGTGGAAGCACAATTCAGGCAAGAAAACTGGGCGAGAAACTTTAAAATGCTACTCTTACATTCTGTAAAATCAGTGCACCTTTTTTTGTCATCTTAGAACAGAAGAACGCAGAAGAAAACGAAATGAGAACGCAAAGAACACGAAAATCAAATCGAAACTTAAAGAATGTACAATCGGAAAAGTTACACTTAGGAGAGACCAAAAACAAATACATTTAGTACAACATAAAGTAAAGAGAGATTTTTAATCATTCTTGCTCCACTATATATACATATATGCATGTGTATATTTATATATAGTATTCATTTGCAAGCGATCAACTTCTATGCTCAGAATCCTGGTCCCTGTCTTGGGCAACGCAGCTCACTCTCCCGCTTAATCTGAAATCATTTATCACAACTCAACTGAACAGAACTGAACTTGACATCTGCTCGAGCAGGACGAGTATGTATGTATATTGTATATCAGAATCGTTCTTTGATCAAACTTGGTTCATGTTGTAGAGTAGTTATATATGTAATATATATTGATATATATAAGGGTATTGAACTGTGTACATAGAGACAACAAGGTAGACAACTAGCTAGCGTAGTGCTAATTAACGCCCCATAAGTGAGGCACACATAAACAAGCATACACTCACTCACACACACACGCAGAGAGATAGCGATAGGTTGATCAATTAGTTAGACATCTATGTATGTTCAGTCTGTTAGAGTTACCTAAAAAGCTAATGTACATATAGGTAAACAGATGTAAGTTAGACATATATCAGAATGTAACTCGTGTTGTGATTTAAGAATGCTAGGCATGTACACAATTAGCTATTATTATGTATGTAGTAGGTATTTAAAGCTTTGTAGACACAGTTGTAACAAGCTAAGGATTGGAGCACACAGACAATAACTGATGTATTTATATATATATATATGTATGTAGCATATGAATGTATATATTCATATATATTCATATCAATAAATATATATACATTCAAATGCATGTATTTATCGAGAGATTGAAAACGGATGGATAAATACAAAAGAGGGAGAGACAGAGAAGGAGAGACACAGAGAGAGAGAGAGAGAGAGAGCAAGAGTGTATAGAAAAACTATATATACACATATGTATGTATATATACATATATGCATATACATGTACACATATATATATGCATATAGATATGATAACACCGAAATGTATGTGTAGCGCGTCTAATAGATATAATAATCATAATAATAAGATCTATGAAATGATAATAGAAACTATAACATGAACAATTTGTATGGCTTACGAAACACAGAATCAACTGAGAACAGATACAAATCGAAACGAAAAAGAAAAGAAACCAAAACGAAAACAAAAAGTGAAATCAAAAACAATTGTCAATGTTTTTGAAAATACGGAAAGAAAATGTTTACTTACTGGCACTCTTCGGAAGTATGTTTACTCTCATCCGTACAATAAAAAAACTTTCCATTGAACAATTGTACACCAATAACAGAAAATATAAATTGAAACAATATGTACACGATTAGAATGTTAACAACATTTTTTAATGAGTTCACGACGCAATCGAAGACGGCTTTCAATTTGGGAACACGTTTAATAGTCTTCAATGGACGCAGGACGCGCAGCACCCGAAGCGATTTGATAGTGGACAAATTTTGTCCAGCGCTGCTACCGCTCATATCGAAACCGAAACTAACAGCAGCGCATATAACGACCACAGCATCCATAATATTCCAGAATTCTCTTAAATAGCTGCCAGGATGTAGGATGACACCCAAGTCTACAATTTTCAGCAACATTTCTATCGTGAATACGCCGGTAAATGCATAATCAAAGTAATTTAAGATCTTATTTCGCCTCGAGTTCTCACGAACGGGATCTTCGGCTGCTAATGCTATTGATGACATTGATATGACGACCATTATGAAGAAATCAAAATATGGTAAATTAACCACCCAATGGGCGCCACGTCGTATGCTGTATATGCATATAGATATAGATTTGATTGATTGTAGTACCAATAGAGGTGGTTGGGTTGTTTTGATTTTTGATTTGATTTGATTTTTTTTTTTTTTTTTTTTTTGGTTAGTTTTGAATTTTGTTGTTGTTTCGATCGATTTTGATTTTCCAATAGATGGCCATGGATAGTTCAGATTAAGTTGTTTTTTTGTTTTTTTTTGTTTTTATCGTTTACAATTGCAAGATTCGATTAATTCGTTTATTACATTTGTTATTAAATTTTATATAGAGTTTTTTTTTTTTTATTTTCGATTGCGTTTTGCGTTTTGTTTAGTCAACCGTTTTATTTAATTCGATTTTGTTTTTGGTTTTCCAATTATTATTTAATCGGTTTTTATTTCAAGTAATCATCAATTTTGTTTTGTCGTTGTAGTTGTTGTTGTAGTAGTAGTTGTTGTTGTTGTAGTAGTTGTAGTTGTTGTGTTGTAAAAGTTATAGTTGAAGATAATGATGATGATGTGGTTCATAAGATGAATTGCAGTTGCTCGTGATGGAGGTGATTGATATTGCAGGCAAGGAGGATACAAATGAAGTATTCGTCGATATTTGTAGTGCAAATATTTACAAATATATATATTATCATGTAGATATATATGTATATATATAAATTTCATTAATTTAGTTGAGTTCAATTAATTTAATTCGATTTGATTCGATTCGATTCGATTTGATTTGATTTGTTTCATTGTAGTGTGCAACAGAAAATTGTAACGAATCCAAAAGAAAAAGTGAAAAGAAAAAGAAGTGAAACAAGTTAGTACATTTGGTATTACCATTGGCTAAAAAGAAGTTTATCGGTTATTAAGACAATTACAGTGGATCATAAAAGTGTGCTAAGAGTTAACCTTCATTGACGAACCTATGCGAGGCATACGCATACTGAAATCAAAAATAATATTTATTCATATCCCTGCCTAGGCAGTTAAAGCCAAGCCTAGCAGCTGAGTTTATGAATTTTAGATTTCAAAATAAATGTATTATGTAATGCAAATATCGTTAGACATAGACTCGGACTGACTCACTGAAAACATAATCTAGACTTTATATTACATTTTAGTGTTTTGCTTTTTTCATTTAATGCAAAGATTTACTTTTGATATATTCAATCAAAGATAAATTGACCGGACAACGCCGGGCAGCGGCCTAAAAGCCTAAAAGCCTGACAGCCTGGCACCCTGTAATTAAATATCAGCTTTAGATATAGATGAGAAACATATTTACGGATTTGTTGGTGATAGTATGAACATCGAAGAGTATGGCAACATTGGCTTTGGCCCTTCCGTAACTTCCTCCTCCTCCTTCTTCTCTTCCTCCTTCTTTTTGCCTTTGCCCTTGCTGGTGGCCACGGTACCATCGCCGTTCTCCAGGTGGACACCGTCGCCTTGAAGGGCTTCCATTTCTTTTTCTAGTTCTTGGAGCTGTTTCTCTTTATCTTCTTCGACTTGTTCCTCTTCGGCTGCTGTCAGTTCTTGAGCATTCGCCAAATTATCGACGGCGATAGCCAAGAACACATTTAAAAGCGTATAATTACCGAAGAGTACCAAAACGATAAAGTATCTGTTGGAAAAGAGACACAATGCGATTAGTGGGCTCCAGTGAAAGTCGACGTGGAGCTATTAGTATGCTTGATAATGTTCGATGTAAAGCCCAAAGTCTACTCTGTATCCTGCATCCGGTCAAGTGTAGAAGGTCAATTTTAATTTCTTAATCAAATAATCCATAATGTGTGAATGTTTCAAGTGATCAGGTGATCAAGTGATCAATTGATAGAGCAATAGCTAGTGCGTCAACTGATCTCAATATAACACAAATATACCAATATGAACTGTTCAATCTAATATATGTGAGCATGTGTATCGGATAGTAGCAGCAGCTAGAGTGTTGAATAGTTATAATACTTGAAATGTTGTGCCTAGGGGCCCAACAATTAATCCAAAACATGGCATGGCTGGAAAAGAAATGAATTATGGAAATAGATAAGCAAGAGTGAGATCAACTAGGCTAGCGTAGCTAAATATAATACACTTACGTTATTCGATAGCGAGCGAGTGCGCTGAGGGAGGCTGCATCAACTAGGGGGTTAAACGATGGAAGGACTTGGCTTGCAGAATTTCAGGATCGCATTTAACTAAATTCTCCAAGCTCTAAAGCCCAATCTTTTCACATATATATATGGGTCAATATATATATTGTGAGACCAAAACTCCAACGTTCCGGATCTTTATGGTAGATTGCACACATTAATGGTTCGACGTTCAATGAATATCAACTAATCGCACCAATTAGCCCCCGATATCCTCCCACCAACCAAAAGAATTTCTTTCTTTCTAGGTAACAACAGCAACCTACTTCCGATTCAATTCGATTTTCCAATTTATAATGCAAAAAAAAAAGTAAATAAATATAGCCAAGTTCTCTAGCAGATAAAGCTGTTGATGTTGTATACTCGGTTCACAGAGTGAAACAACTTAATCCAGATAAGAAACTCGATTTTGCTAATAACAATTACATGGTACAAAATTAATAATACAAGTTTGATTGGTTAATTAAATGAATTTGTTTTCAGATACTAAGAAAACGGAGAGCATTTGCTCTATGCTCTCCAACTGAGCATCGGCTCTCTCTCTCTCTCTCTCTCAGTCCCTCTCACGTTTCTGTGCCATTGGCAGAGAGTTGAGGCAGGCTTCGCTCAAATTCTCATTCTCAAATAGTTACAGCTCAACGAGAGTAGCAAGACGAAGGCGAGCCTGCGGTGGACAGTGAAGTCTGCTACCAATAGAAGGTCCTGGAAATAGTTTTGTTTGTGTATATAATTTACAAACCCAACCCAACCCAATCAAAAAATACAACAAAATGAGCCCGAGTCTGCAAAATCTACAAAAGTCAAAAGTGTAAACGCATTATAGCCAATTTCATATAATATACTAAAAGAACTACTCATACATAAGATAAAATAAGAATAATACTGTGAACCGAATATGGCCAAGTCGGTGAGAGCCGACTGTAACTAGCTTTGTTTGATTCTACAATACGATGTTTCTTAGCAATACTATAATCATATATGACTTTATATATGTATAATGTCAATGTCAATGAAAATTTCAATTATCGATATTTGTATAAACTTACATAGAGTAAATCATTCCTTTCTTTGCACCACCTTGCGATATAATACCCTGATACATAACTTCATTCCAATCTTCGCCGGTTAGGATTTGGAACACTGTTAAGAGTGCTATGGGAAATGTGTTAAAGTTTGTTTCGGGCGTGCCTCCTGGCAAATTGAACTGCCCACCGAACAGTTGCATGCCAAGCAGTGCAAATATCAGTATGAACAAGAAGAGCAGGAACAACAGTGAGATGATGGATCTCATCGAATTCAGCAATGATATAACTAGATTACGTAGGGAGGACCAGTATTTGGTCACTTTGAAGATGCGCAACAGCCGGAGGGCACGCAACACAGACAGACCGAACGAGCCGCCCTTAACTTCAGACCAGATCACCTCGAATATCGAACCACTAATGACGACACAATCAAAACGATTGAACGACGACTCGAAGTAAATGCGTGGACCCAGCGCATACATCTTGATGAACATTTCCGACATGAACAGCCCCAGGAAGATGAATTCCGCATAGTCTGCAATGGAAAAGTTCCGATTAGATTGTACCATTGCCCCGCCCCTGCTCCAGCAACAGCGGCAAATCGATGCAAATTACTTACACAGAAACTCCGTGAGGAATGTCGGCTGTCCGTAGTGCTCGACAGCGACGCAAACAGTGTTGAGAAAGACGAGCACTATCACGAACCAATAGAACCACTGCGTCTTCACTGTGTGCCGTATCCAGAAACGGAACCTTTTCTCGGCTCGCCAAAATCCTGTACAGCTGCCTTGGGGTTTCGAACGAGTTTTTAGATAACCTGTCAAGAGTACATTGACGCATGATCAGTAAGGCCGCATCGGCTAATCGATCTATGTACATAGTCTATATAGTCTTATTGCTTAAGTGTTTCGATTATTGCCACACAAACAAGTTTTTGTGTATCCTGCGTATGAGTACGTTGTGATTTAGTCGTGGTAGTTGTTGGATTTGTTGTTGTTATTGGTACTAGTTAGTAAGTATATACAAACTCGATATCTCTATCTATACGCTAAACGAGATGCAACTACAAGCACAGATATCTACGAGTATGATAGCACACATACATGATATGTTCGATTTTGAATACGACTATAACAAATCAGCGAGTCTGATGCGTCGCATCGTGGACTTTGCAGACTATAAAATATCGGGTGACAAACGTTTAACTTTTAATATTAACTTCAATCATACTTTCTGTGACAGCTATAGACCTATTGAGAGAAGGAAATATGTATATCTGTATACATATATATGTATGAATGCAAATACAGTAGAGTCCGATTATTACGACGCTCAAGAAACCCTTATAATACTCAGAAGATGTTATAACTGTATAAGTTTGCTCATATAAGTTTGTCTGGGTACCAGAATTCGTTGCAATCGCCGTACGGACGCTATAACCGGAGTAATTATAGCCGGATTCTACTGCAGACATTCAATGAATATTAAGAAATAATATCTATACCTATATGATCTATACCCATATAATATTGTAAATTTAATATTTATTATTATTTTCACCAAATAGTTTCTCTAGTCTGTTTCATTATTGCACAAGTTTCTAGTTTTCATATTATCCTTTTGGTATTTTACTGTTTCATTAGAGGCCTTCAGTTCATTTGACAAGAATGAGCCAGAAAAAATATCATAAGTTAAATCCTTTGATGTATCTGATCTATAACGTATATTTATAAAACTTGACTTGATACCTTAAGGAACAAAAATTAATTAAAAAATAATAATAATAATAAAAACAAAAAACAAACAAAAATAGAAAAAAGTTGTGACTAAGAAATGCTCAAGGCAATATCCTAGAAATATATATAACATAAATAAAATAAAATTAAATGATGTTTTAGTGTTATCCATTAGGAAAAGTCGATCTGTTCATATCCTTCTGGAGCTCTATCGATTTTGATACTCAATATAGCTAGAATAAACCCATTTTCATTATGTATTCGAATCTCTGGAGATTCCTGATTAATAATATGCAAGTGCTTGGATACAAACAAAAATAAAGATATATATTTAATTATACGACTATACATATCTTTGGGGCCGTAGCATAGTTAAGGTGCCTTATAATCGATGAGAATGCATAAACAAGTGCAATAGTAGTTTCAATTTCGAATTCATAAAGAATTGAATTGTCGCTTAGGAGACGATAAATACATATACATAAGTACGTACAACCATTATAGACTATGAGCCTAGCATAGATGATATCGACATGAGAGATGTGCATGTAAAACATCCCCGACATGGTTATAGATTTAGTACAATGTGTGTATGTACATACATTTACTGATATACTGAAAATGCTCAATACATTGATATGGCTACCGAATGCATGTTGTTGTGAGAATGATATTGAGTTGTACAAGAAATCAGGTTATTGATCGAATTAGTAGTTTACTTACACATTTTGAATGTACATATCAATATAGAATTTCGTTTTGTTCAAATTCACAAATTCAAATTAAGAGAAAATGAAAAACGTAAATTAATTCGATTTAAAAGAACTTATTTTGAAACATAATAACTTAATTAAGACATTTCACAGATATTCACTCAGATCGAGGTCTAAACAAAAACCGCCCATAAATCTTCGGAATTTGAGAGAATTTACTCAACAACAAAAAAAAAAAAAAAAAAACAATATGAAGAAATTTCCATCTAAATGTTTCGTGTAAATATAACTTTGCATGCAGAAAGAATTTGTTTCATTTGAAATCATGTCCTCTTTCGCTTTTTCAATTTAATCCTAAATATCACTTTTGAGGACTTCAATATTTCCGATTCCATGAATAAAAATTTTTCTTGAATATTTATATATTTACGATTCACACATATTCAAATCTATCGAATCGGACCACATATCGTACAGCTGCCTAAAGATCTAAATCTTACAGAGTTTGCGAGTTATTCCGATCGATCGAGAGAATATATTTATATATTCGTTAACATATCTATCGAAATGGATTTGGTATGGTAAATTCGCTAATTGAATTCATTTGCAGTCGGATTCGTCCGACGTCCAAAGTCTTATGTGTTTTTAATTTCATATTAAAATAGATGTATTTACGATATTCGCGTATGCATAGATCAGCCATTGATAGCAGCTATTAGCCGAGTTATTAGGTAAATAACCACCTAAATAGATTCTTTCGAAAGTTCTTCTTCAAATATTTAAGTTTCTGTTATGTTTTGAATAGGTCTTAGGATCTATGCTGTCTAATACAATTCTTACCATCATCGCCGTAATCCTCTTCGGCTTCTTCTTCTTCAGTGTCTGTTGACTTTGACTTTCCTAAGCTTTTCAGCTTTTTCCGTTTAGCTGCATTTCGCCTGCGGGCTACAAAACAAAACCAAACAAGATATATTGAAATTTCGAATACCACATATTCGATAAAGCTGAGAGATCAACCTACCTTCCATAATATGCATTTTCTCCTCCTCTGTTGTTCGTTCTTCGGCTAATATAACTTCCTCTGCAATTATATCGTAACGATAAACGGATTGTCAAATGTTCATGGCATGCACGAAAAAACGATTTGCGACTTAGATTTTTCATCTTTTTTTTTAACAAGCAGGATTAACATATGTATGTGAATATGAATTGATGAAGCTCGGGTGGATGTATAGCATATAGCTTACGTCTTACTTATTTATTTGAGCATATACATAGGTTTATTTGTGTTGTGAGTAAATGTGAAGTATATTACTAACTGTGTTTGTGTCGGTAAATCAGTTTGATGTTTGAGCTCTTTAGATTTTTGTTTGTATATATTTATGGGAGAACTAGATAGTGTTTTAAGTGGAGTTTTGTATTAATTATGAAAGCAAGTCAGAATCTCTGTAATATCCATCAAACCCGACTTGAAAATACCCAAGCGAAGAGCTCAGCTCTATTAGCTCAAGCTACATGATAAATGTATACTGATTTCACTGAGCCAAAGAGCCTTCGTATGAGCTCTTCTTCCTCTCATTTGCAAATCCTTGAATTTAAAAATAAGTTTAGCATTATTTACAGAGCGTCATATAGAATGGACCAGCTTATTATAATTATCGATAAAAATCAATACGTAGATCGATAAGTAGATCTTTTGATCTGAAAACTTTTAAAGCTTATATTTATGATGTTCTTTACTATGCTTAATACAGAGCTTGTGCTTATTTCATATTTTAGATACCCTATTTAAAAAATAACCAATTTGATATAGATTTTATTAGGCTTTCGGTAATTATAGACATTTAACAGTTATTTTTAAAGCCAAAGTTATACAATAGCTAAACAGTATAGTGACGGTGTAAGAAGTACTTAGGGTATTTCCTAGTCGGATACTTCCGCCTTCTTTTCGTGACTTATTTCCATATGGTACATTTATTAGTTTAGTATTTTTAAAGGTATGAGTGTATGTGTATGCATTGGTGTCTGGTGTGTTTGGCGTTAAGAGGAGTCGGATAATATAGTATATAGAGAGAAAGATATAGATATATATTTTTTGATAAACATTACAAAAGAAAGGGGTAAATACTATACCAGCTTTACAAATCCATTCAACATAGCCGTTTAATTCTCTTTCTAGTTGCTGCTGCCTTCTAAGTTTAAGAAATTCTTGTCTATTTTCTACTTTTTCTCGTTCTTTTGCGAATTCACTACAAAAAATAATTAAATAGAATATGATGAACCGAAAACAGGAACGATCCAATGAACAAATATGATATATTGCATTACAAAAAAACAATTTTCACATTTTGTTACCTTTTCAAAATATTTGTTTGTATTGAAGTGTTTGTGTACATTCAAATAAAAATAAACTTAAATACATATTGAGTGTGATGTACAGACAATGAGAATAGTAGTAGTTTAAGTAGAACAAACAGAAGTAGAGCATAAATAGAGTCAATGGGGAGATGAAGATAGAACAATTAAGTATTGGTAGCATACTGTGCATAACTCTTTAGCAGTTTCAAATTATACCCGAGATAGGAGTTGAGTATGTGAATGCCATTGTGTCGTGGGTCCATAGCAGACATACATCATGCTTGCTTCTATGTAAATATCATCGAAAAGAACATAAACAAATGTGACGCAGATCCTCTTTGAGCTTTGAGCCAGAGTACAGCATGATGAAGTACACGACGAGTAGATATATATCTATCTATCTATCTATAGATAAGTTAATATATGTGGGTGAGAACTTGAACAATCTGAACTCGTTTCTCTAACCATAGCAGAGCAGCAATTCGATATTGTCGATATTGTTTGTTAAATACGGGATTGTTTATATATAATACTATAGTAGACGATAAGAACAATTGCTATTGGCATAACAAACTGGTGTGGAAGTACCTTGTATGCTTGTTGAGTAAATATATGTATATATTGAAGTTGGGGTTTAACTAGATATATAGTTGTATAGTTAGTTAGTTAGTTAGTTAGTTAAGTGGGGATTAACGTATGTTTGTATTAGCTAAAATTTGCATTGAATTAGTTGATTATGTAGCATGTAATACGAACTGGGTTCTGTTCTAGTATATGTAACATATATGGGGACTTTCGGGTGGTAGGACCAAACAGCATTTCGTATAAAAGTTTTATTGCATTATCTCAATTAGCGACAGATTTATAATATATATATATAGATAGTATATAGTATATGTTGTTGTAGCTAGTTGAGAAGAGCAAAAGATGATATTGTTGCCGAAAGGAATTAATTTGCTTGCGGTTTTAATTGGTTTTTAGCTATCGTATTAATTGGTTAACTCATTGTATTTGTTGTTGTAGTTGTATTTGTTGTTGTATTTGCCTAGTTTTTATATATTATATAAGATATTCTTGTACGTATATATATATATATGTTTATATATATGTAGAGAGGATTTGGTTGGTTTATTAACGTTTCTAAGTTGAAGGAGGTACAGGTTGGGCGCATCTCTTGCTGAGATTCGAATAGTCTAAGGATATGACAGAATTGGCCAATTTTGTGATTATACGAATAGTTATGGCATTTGGCTAAATTGCAATTTAAAAACCTGCTTGCGTTATCCAATCAAGATATGAGACCATTGCTGTTTGAAACATGGCGCGAAAACGGCATTTCTGAAATTCCATGCGACGCTCGACGCGGTTTCTCTCGTTTGAAAACTCTCTGAATTTTCAAAACAAACAAAAGTATTTTATTAACACAAAACAACACAAAACTCAAAACAATAAAGAAAAAATAAAAGAAAATAATAATAAATATATATATATGTGTACATATAGAGATTTACAAGTAAAGATCATTAGATTTGATGTTTGTAATTCGTTCGATGTATGTTTTGACATTTTCAATTACATCAAATATTTTCAATATATTCAGTCACTATGTACAATATGTACACTTTGGGATTATCGACTATATTTTGTACAACTATGGAGTATTTTGTACAATATACACAACATTGATATTGAGTCGAGTGATATTCGAAGATTGATATATCCAATTCTTCGAATCGACATAGTTGATGAGCTTCTTTACTCAATAGCAGAGGTTCTGAAGAGAAGTTCAGAGAGAAATTCTTCAATTTTCTCAAATTGATCTTTATACATACATATATTTTGAACTCAGAGATCAAATCAAAAAACAACTTAAACACAAACTGTGGCAGAAGACTGTGTGTTGGTACTCAAAGACAAGTTCAAGGCCAACTTACCCACTCAAGACACCAAGAACTAAGTTGAGCATAAAAAATGAGCCTATAACTATAAGAGGCACGAAATATATCCAATTAAATGATGAACCTAATGCGTCGTTGGTCTGTAGAAAAGGTAATAAAGAAAACAAACATATACAGTATATATATATCGCATCTTTTTATCCTTATTCTTACCCAATATAGTATTGCCGTCCAGCCCTCCATTGTAATACACTGGAATACCGTCAACATGGCGAAGCCAATATTATCAAAGCTTGTTATGCCTGAATTTGGTCCATCCCACTTCTCCAGACACATACTCGTCGTAATATTACACACATAGGAACCACCCGCTTTCTCTGTGGTGTTATCTGTGTTGCAGGGTGTCTCCGATTCACCTTCCTTCACTAGTTTGTCTGGAAGAATGAAGCGAGAAATATATCACTCTGGCAATCCCCAATAAATGGAGAGCATATGGACACTGATTATATTACTTGGATCTTCTAAGCTATAACAAGTCTTATGCAGTGCGCCCGAATAAAACTCGAGTCCAATGATTGCAAATATTACGATTGCAAACAACACCAAGAGTCCGATTTGCAGTAAAGGTGCCATCGCCTTGATTATAGATTTTAAAACTACTTGTAAACCTAGATATTAGACATTATTGGTAGTTGTTCCAAAATGGGCATGGTCGTCATGGGCGTCACAGACGAGGAGTTTTTGGAAAAAGACAAATTGTATTAGTAAAATTGTATAAAAGAGAGCAATGCAATTAAAATACATTTGCTCAAGCTACTACTGCTCATCCATATATATATATATATATATATATATATATATATATGTATGTAAGTAGAAGAGCACTAAGAATTATATTACGAATACATTTACTCTATGCAAAAACTGAACTTTATTTGAGCATGCAAGGAAAATTCATTAAAAAAGAAAATGTTTTTCTACATATATTTTTCTTTTGTAATATCTATTACCATACGCTAGGCCGTATGGTATTCTATGTACTACATATTTATTTAGTATGTTAATAATTATATAAAGTAAAATGAACAAATTGTATGACTACTCACTAGGAATTCCAGACACTAATTTTAAGGGCCGTAGCACACGAATGGCTCTAAGTGTTCTTAGATCTACCTCGGGCCCCATTTGTGGGTACTGTGTCATGAATCTGTTAGCAGACGTTAAGCGATCGAAGCGAGCATTTCATTAGCAATATTCCAATGAATTCATTATAGTGGGTGTGGGAGGGGTAGTTGGAAAAGGAATGGGTAGATGGATACAGGGGTAGACGGGTAGATCACAATTATATTTAAAGTGTTATCAAATGGGACATTCAATTGTGCTACGATAACTAATCAACATAAACAATTTTATACATAGCTTCTGAATGGCAAATAAATATGATGAAAGTAAATAAATACAAAATATTTATGTATATATGAAAATAAATTAAAATTTAATTGAATGATTTCACTTGTTCATATACATCGATTGTACATAGATATGTATATTCTTATATGTGATATATACATATGTACACACATACATATATATCTAACAACTACTGAAATCTTTTTCATTATAATTTTTTTTTTCTACAAATTAGTTAAAATTATGTTATTTCTTATATCTTTATAATTGTTTGATTTCTTCACTTTATCAATAAATAAAAAAGAAATAAATATTATATATTAAGAAGCTATAATTTTTGTCTAGTAGTTCCAATAGGCTCTTCTAGGTAAGTTTATAGCTAAATATTCATAGATTCATTTTTTAATAACAAAAATTCAAGTAATATCTGTAGCGTGACTTAAACTGACTTTCGATACATAAACAGATATTTTTATATAGAAGTTTTATAGACTATGTATTTATTTTCTCAACTTCGTAAAACCAAAACTTCTTGTAATATAAGTTCAATAAATAATAATGTAAAAAAAAAAAAAAAAAAAAATATTTTTGCTCACATCTATGTATGTGAATCCTATATCTAAAATGTACATATATATACTTTTTATCTAGTACCCACTTTTTATTTAGAGTAAAGAGAATGAATAAATCTTTAATTAGACACGTTTTCTCATATGCTATATTGTATTAAGTATTCGTGTGCTACTCGATAGATCTCTTTAAACTTTGAGCTCGTATATTTGCGTCTCCTCTAACGAGAGGCAAATTTCAAGTAGTCTACATCCAAAATTGGGAGCTTTACGCACAGAGTTTATATTTAAATTTATTTTGTTAATATTGTAAATATTAATATTACCAATATTAATGTTATCAACCTGATCTCAGAGAAAACCAAACATAATGCTATATGTATATAGTATATTAGTATATAGTATAAGACGTACATTGTTCGTATATCATTCCGTTAATTATATAGCTATATTTTGAGCAAATATTTATTAAATTATTATTATTATTATTAGGATATTATATTAATGTCGTATATCCTAACACAGGCCAACAAAATTAAGTAACCAAAAATAGAACTACGTTTGTTTTCAATAGTTTTTTATTGTACGGACACCGAATCAGTAGACAGTAGACAACTATTTTATGATTTTCTAATACATTTAAAATTAGTTTTATATTTAAGAGATTTAATCATTGTGACTGTTTTAGAACCATTTATCATAGAATGATAGAATAACAACTTTTCAGCTTTTTGAAAGGTGATTAGTGTTTTCAGATGCCAACAATGTTATTTTATGTACATATTACAATACCTGAAACCTAAACGGTTTAAGACTCAGATTGAGCAGAACAAAAAACTATTTTGGCTAACTTAAACTTGTTAGCCTGTGTAATTTCCACTTTTATGCTAAACCCTTACGAATCTGATTGTAAGAAAATGAATTACCAACTGCATATGCCAGTTTATGAAAATGATTAGCTAAGACTATAACATTTAACTATAAAACCATATACTATATGTATATATTTATATACAACATCATTAGCTCAGCTGAGGAACACAAATTAGCAGTTCTTTGTAAATACCCAGTCGGTAAATGAAATGTTTATCAATTAAGTATCCATAAATTCTTACTGAAAAATGCTCTAAAAGATGAAGAATTTGATTTGTGATTTGAATAGAGATAATAATAGAGAAATTTTACTTCTGGAATCCATATGAAACTACCTAAATCCCACAAGTTATTTGCGGTTTCGAAGGGATCTTCCAATGAAATTCAACTTTGAGACATATCTGTAGATATGATTCTTTAGATTGATGTAATATGCCAAAATAAGGAATTTGAAATATATAGTACATTTTACATCTATATCACGATCTTTTCCTATTTAGAGTTCCTCGATCAAACAATACTGATCTATCAATTAACGAAACGTGAGTTGACGAGAATGCAAATTGTACAATGCAAATGTTGTACAATGTTGATATATACTGAAACTTTTTTAAGAACTTGTTCTTCTTTTATGGTTCTTCAACCAAACAGATTCTCAATATTAAAATTGATATAAGTGATCTATAGATTAAAGAAATGTAAGAAAATGAGAGTTAAGAACTTGTTTTTTCTTTAGGGTTATCGACCAAGGATAAATTTGATTCGTATCGTAACATATTTAACATATGTTTAGATTAAAGACATGTAGGAAGCTATAAAATTTAATTATGTACTACAGTGTATGTAGCAAAAATCTGCTGAGCATTAATTCATCAGTATTCATTGGGCAAGCGTTTAGAAACTTGGGCAACTTAACTATACAGTCATAAATGCTATTCATTTTTAACTAACTAAGCTATGAACCAATGAGATACACACATTTTCTATTGAGTATGCTTAATTGGCACCCTGGAGCTTCTACTAAATCTCTAAATACTCCAAGGAACCAATACATATGTAGTGTTTAAATAGATATATGAATAGATTTTGTTAACTAGCCCCTAAATTTTCTATGGCTCTAATTGAATGTACATAATAACCAACATAAGTAAATGACATATATAGTTAGAACTGAACTGGCCTAAGGAATCTTTTATTTTATTTTATTATTATTATTTTTTTTTTTTTTTGTTAAATGAAATCTATAAATTCGGCAGCGAATTGTCTCTTACTTGGTATTCGGGATACAAGTTTCAGCGGCCGTAAAACACGAAACGAACGCAACATGCGTAGGTCAACATCAATATTGGCCTCGGCAAATATCGTCATGGCACTGTTCGGCATTCGAGTTGCCATATAGAAGTCGGTATATACATATATATATGTGAACAACAAATAAATTAACCAAATGCCATAAAGCTGCATAGTATAGTAGCTAGGAGTGAGAGAGCAGAGAGAACTTTTCTTTTCTCTACAGTGTAGCTCGGATATACATATTCATTTCACCATTAGATTATACTTAAAAATAGTTTGGTTATATATATAAGTATATTTTTTTAACTATGTTGTCTCTTTTATAACTTTTAGTTCTCTATCTCTCTCTCTCTCTCTCTCTCTCTCTCTCTCTCTCTCTCTCTCTCTCTCTCTCTCTCTCTCTCTCTCAATGCACATAAAATATAAAAATCAAACTAAATCAAGATATAATTTATATCTGAACCTAATCCGCTCAATTTGAACAGTTATCATAATGATATCTGTAGATCCTGGTACTTAACACTAAGTAATATGCACAAAATCGTTTATCCATTGTTTCAATATGATTTCAATAATTATTAAAGAGCAACTGAGGAAATACATTATAAATAAAATGATGACAAAAACTGAATAAAATAGTTGCATTTGTATTGCCCGCAATCGAAAATAATAATTATTTAAGAAATATATGGTTCATTTGCTCCTTTTCTGGTTATTAATTAAATTACATATTTACCCCGTCACTACAACGAAAAAATCCATGATGTTCCAAATATTCCTGAGATAGGAGTGTTTATGCAGAACAAGCCCTAAGGCAAGGATCTTGAGCGATGCTTCTACACAGAAAATGCATAAAAAATAGGCCTCCGTTTTTTCCTAGAAATGGGGAAATGAAATTACATTTGATATTAATCTATGAAATACAAAATATTTAAATAATTAAATTAGATTTATTTAAATGTTTTATGTTCTTTTTATTATATATAATATTTATATACAATTATGTTCCTTTTCTTTATGAAATGAGTGTGAAATGAGTATATTGGCTTGATATTTTATACCTTCGAGTTATAAAGTTTCAGGATTTTGACAATCCGCCCATTAAGGGCGTGGTAAATCGAAAATCGATTTGCATTTTGAAACAAATCCCGAGCGGATATATCAAACTATATATGGGGGACGTTGCAAACTTAGTAAATCTATATATAATCGATACGCCCGACTGCAATATTCTTACTTAAATGACCCTAAAAGCTGAAAACGCAATTTCAAAATGAAGTCAAAGCAAGTAAAGATTATATTAAATATATGAATTAACGAATGAGTCTGAATTAGAAACGAGCTTCAAAAATAATAAATATATTTCAAATAAATATTACTTTCAAATATTAAGCATTATTACCATCCCAAATTATGCGCCCTTTTTGCACGCATGCATACAAATACATGCAGAGGCAGCTGACGCAGGGCTGCGCTTGGACTGCGTTATGAAAACTTATTTGCTGAATAAATCCTCTTAAGAGGAACTATTTATATACAACATACAGATAATAATATTCCAATTAGGGTATCTGACAAAACTAACGAGTTTAGTATACTGAATATTTCAAATCCGATTTTTTTCCAATGTGGGGCTATCCAAAATTTGCATTCACAAAGCAAAAAACTAAGTCGTTGACATTTATGTCAAACTATGGAATGAGTTATCGAAAAAAAAAAAATTGCTCTTGTACTACGTATGGCATACACGACTATAAATATGAAATTTCAAATTTCTAGCTTTTGTGGTTTACGAGATCTGTGCGTTCCTACGGACGGACAGGCGGACACGGCTACATACACTACATGGACATGGATATTACCCAGATCGAAATGTAATAAATAAATATTTGATTAAAAATATAAATGTTTTTATAACGATGATGATTATCATAATCATTGTTAGTATTAATATTTATTTTTATGTGTATATATAGCTTACCAATTTTTGAGCCAATACTGTCTTGTCGCCCTCTGGCAAATGCTCTTCTAATGCCAACACAACACAGTTGGCTATGATTGTCAATAACACAGCGTACTCAAAGGGCGGCCATTCAATGATGAATCGTGTGTACTTTCTAATTGGGTTATCCTCGGTTAGGATAAACAATGACGTCGGACCACCACCTGGTGGGTTTTCCTCTTTTTTCGGGCCACCCATTCTATCAGCTAAGCGATGGGCTCCCTTTCGACCCAAGTGCCCCCCGCCTAAGGAGTCCTGTTGATGCCCTGCTAGCACTGCTTCCTGAGCTGCTTCCAACCTACAATTGGAATCAATTGTTAATGTTATTAATAGAAATAAAAGATAAAGAAAATGATACAAAACGTATATTATCGAAATATATATATATATAATTAGATCTTAATCGAAATTAGACTTCAAAAGATAATGATTATACATACCGTCACTATATCCAATTTTTGATACTTTTGTAACGACCGCTCGGCCATAATTATATTACACAAGATGAACAACAATACGCATTTGTCGGATGTGACACGCCGTCCGCATGGCACAAATGTGGCAACCGGACATTTAGTTGGGTAGCCAAAGGCTGTACAATGATTTCGCAATGGCCGGCTGGATGGGTAGTGCGATTTATATACAATATGTACACATATACATATACACATGAGCATATATACATAAGCAGATATACATATACAAATATATATTTAAATATATGTATACAAGTATATGTATGTATGTATATATATAAAACTCTATATGTATATTTATGTATATATGTAAATATATTCAATAATATCAAGGCGCATTTCACTCTTCAGTTTCCTTTGTTCACAATTTATTTCTAATTACTTATTGCTTTTTGCTTCCAGCTTCTTTTTAACAATTATGAATTGTATTATTCTATATTATTGCACAAAATGCTAATTGATCAAGAGATACATGGAATTGATTAGACTTTGATTTCATTTGGTTTTATGAACAGTTATTCGAGCGGGTTTTCTTATTTTGTTTTCTCTTCTTTTTTTTTAACACATTTCATTTCATTTCATTTAACACTTACATATTTCATATTTTATTTATGCGATTTATTATTTAAGGAAATCACTAAAACTAATGAGCTTGTCGCGCTGCGAAATGGTTTTGTTTTTGTTCGGGTCAATTCAGTTCATGACCTATCGAAATACACACACACATACACTAAAACATATGCATGCATGCAGCTATGCATGCATATGCACGCTGCCATGCATTTGTACATATGTATGTATGAATACATGTATGTATGTCTGCATGTGTGTCACTTGACACGAGTATACACATGCCACGCGCACATCTATGTATGTATATAATATGCATGTATGTATGTATATAAATGTAATGTAAATATAATAAAATGAAACACAGTTAACAGCAATATGAAATCAATTCATAATATGAAAACATTTCACTTGTTTTTCCATTTGTTTTGTCGCTCACTTTATAATTTCGTATGTATGTATGTAAATAGAGTTGAGGCTATCAGTATAACATTTTATTACTGGAGCACGATATGAATGAAAAGTTAGGGGATGAAACGTTCGGCACTTGCATACCCATACATACAAACACAAACATACACAGGCACTGGCACTGGCACACGCATACATACATACGTACATACATACGTAAGTGTGGTCATGAAAAAGTTCAACACGCTGTGGTGAATTGAGTGGAATGGTAAATAAGAAAGCGAGCGAGCGAGAGAGAGAGAGAGAAAGAAATATCTGTGACAGCGCTGCGCTGCTGAGAACACGAAGAACTTGGTTAAGCAGCAGCAGCTCGCTCCTCGGCTTGGTTAGAGATGAATTCTATAATTAACAACAGTTGTTCATACACACACGTACACCCCTAACAACAAATGAAATGCCATCAAATTTCCAATTTCCAATACTGGTCGGGAATTTACTAATGGCATACATAAGGCATGCGTGTGTAGAAGAAAGCACACATTATTTACTATTTATGACGGACGATTAAAAATTTAAATATTTACGAACACGAAGAAGAAGAAGAAAAAGTCAACGTTGCATGGTATCAAATTATTAATAAACTGAGATACTTTTGACATCACACTCCAGCGCTGAAAAGTAGACTTCGTTTTCTTTTCGCCTCGACTCGCCAGCGAAAGCATTTGCATTTCAAATATTTATGAACAAATTGAATAAAGCGCAATCATTTGGGCTAGAATATCATATTATGTATGCACACATATATAATTGAAACTAACAGGCTTAAATTAGCCATGTATGAATTGTACGGCTAAAAATAGCTAATTCTCTGTTAACAAATGCAAAATAAATGTAGTTTAGTGACGTCATCGTGCTATCTACTCTGTTTGTGTGTGTTTCGGATGGCAAACGGAAAAACATGAAATGGCAAAAAAAAATAACAGAACTGAACTGAAGGGAACCGAACAGAATAGAACTGAGAGAACAACTTAAGCCCACAAAACAAAATAAACACAAACAGCTCCAGCAATGCACACACACACACACATACATATGTACACACATACATACATGCATATGCTTGTAAAGACGTAACGGTGCCAATTTGCGCTTTCGTTGCGATTTCGCTAGCAAAAAGTATTTATTATTATTTGGCACAAGCAGAACCCTGTTGTCTAGTGTAAATGCATGTCGTATACATACATTACATTTACATACATATGTAAAGTAACATTGTTACACTCAGCTCAGAAAATGCTAACGAATTTTGTTTTCATTCAATGCACCTATGTATATACATAATGGTATATACATACACACATACACACATACACACATACGTAAACATATGTATGTTTGTAATGCCTGTACAAATCCCATTAGCACACAAAATACCATTTTCATTCCCGAGGGCACTAAAAAAAATGAACAACAAAAAGTAGCCTCAACTCTTGTACTTCTGCTTCTTCTTAACATATTGACATTTGTATGTGTGTGTGTATATGTGTATGTATATAAATAGGTTATAGCCATTTTAGAGAGACAAACACACATGTACACACATATACATGTAATAAACGTAAATAATTTGCTGCTGCTGCAGATGATGCTACTCCTTCTGCTGTTGCCGCTTCTGCTCCTTCTGCTGCTGCTGCTGCCTCTGCTGCTGCTGCTGCGCTGGTGCTAAATACAATTCATTCACCTTGCGACACATACACGTCACAACATAAAAACCGCTGTAACCGAAACAGAAACAAAAATTCACTTGGCGTTGTCAAAAACTGTCGCTGTCGCTGACGCTAGCTCTGACGCCGTTACCACCCACGCAACATTCCACCCGTTGTGCTACCAACCCGCTGACCCAATCCCAAGCTCAATTCACACACACAAACACACACACACATGCACGCACACGCACGCACGCACACAGACACGCAAGCTGGCACGCACGCACACACATTGAAATGAGCGCACATACTGTCGCATTCACAGCCGCATTTGTAACTCGATGTACGTACATATGTATGTAGGTATGTATGCACATACACAAGTATAGCTATATATAAATATGTACGTCAAGTGCGTATATTGAGGCTATTTAACTGTAAATGTTAGCGACAACTCAACAATTACAGCCAACTGAGCAATGCGCGACAAACATTGTTGAACAAGATGTTCGGCAAGGGATATGGCTATATCTATGGCTATGTCCATGGCTATACAGAATAGCAGGTGCTGGAATTGTGTACATGTGTGTGTGTGTGTGTTTGTATGTTTGATGCGGTTGTGAACTGTTTAATGGGCGGCGAGCGAATATTATTAATGCATGATTTTCTTTGGATTCACTTCTTCGTTGATTTCACTTCAATTACATATACATACATATATGTTCACATACACACACATATATATATATATCTAAATATAAGTATATTTCATGGCTTCCATTTTAATTTCAATTTCGCAATTATTCGGTTGAACTTTTTCTAACTTTATATTCACCACTCGACCCGATTTTTTTTTCTTTCGTTTTTTTCTTCTTTTTTTTTGTGACTATATGCCACCACGAAAAGTCGAGTATTTTAGCCCCAATTAAATGAAATGGCCAACAAATTTTGCTTTATACATTTATCTTTCACTAGAAATGCAGCTGGAGAACGTTAACTAGGCTCGATTGCCGTTTATAAAAATAAAAAACAAAAACCGCTATGTTTTCCGGACCAGTTACCGACTTTGTCTCACCAGTTGGACGAAAAAACTTGACAAACGCAAGTCGATGAAGACTTTGTGTTACACTTTACACATTACACACACAAACACATACACTGGCACAGGCCAGAGGCACACACACGACAACTACACGCACAGGCAGCTAACCAAACAGTCCTGCGCTTTGGATCGAACATAAAAAAAGCTTCAGACGGAACTTGCAGGCACTGCCGCCGCAAATAAACTGCACATCACTTGATGTAACCAAGACGCTGTCTGCGGCACGGCGTGCGCGCAAAAGAGATGCATATATGAGCCGTTACTATAGCTGTGCGTTCTTTCCATCTGAGAGCAATGCTCAATAGTGCCTATTCTATTGCTCATATGACATTGACGCGGAGCTTTAAGCTTTCGCATGATGCTTTCATCCACCATTCGTTCGTGCGGCACACAAATTTAGGGTCTCCCTAAACACCAGACGAAACCGAAAAAAAAAACAACAAAAAACCAAGGAAAAAAACAATGCATGCTGACAGCTGGTTGGCAATTATGCTTGCTGGTCGCTTATCGATTTATTCAACTGGCAGGGCTGCTTCTACATAGGCGCCATCTATTGGCAAAGCGCGTAAGCTACACGATTTATTTAATTGGCGCAGTTTGGCAATTTGCCAAAAACCGAAAAGGATCTTAGCAGTAGGAATGCCCTCAATTCAAATTGCCAATTTCCAAGCTTAAACACGGTACAGTAAACGCTTAAGTATTGGGTAGTCTAAAAAGTCTTTTCGTATTTGTAATGAAACTTCAAATCATATTTTTAAATATTTATAATAAACTTTATTAAATCAAATATGCACCATTTTGGTCGACCACCTTTTGCCATTTTTCCACTAGAGACATAATTCCATTCGTGTAAAACTTTCGTGGTTTCTCTTTGAAAAACTGCTTCAAGTGATTTTCACAGGCTTCTCTTGAAGCCAACTTTACTCCGTTAAGGGAGTTCTGCATTGACCGAAATAAATGGTAGTCCGAAGGTGCAAGGTCAGGGCTATATGGTGGATGCATTAAAACTTCCCAGCCAAGCTCTCTCAGTGTTTGCCGGGTCATCAAAGATGTGTGTGGTCTGGCGTTGTCCTGATGGAATACGATGCCCTTTCTGTTGATCAGTTCTGGCCGTTTTTTTTCGATTGCTTGCTTCAATCTCATCAGTTGTCCACAGTAAAGTGTCGAATCAATCGTTTGACCAGGCTGAAGCAGCTCATAGTGGATTATTCCTTTCCAATCCCACCAAACACACAGCATTACCTTTCGAGCCGTCAATCCTGGCTTTGCGACCATTTGTTGAGCTTCACCACTCTTGCACCATGATCTTTTTCGCACATTATTGTCGTATTTGATCCATTTTTCGTCTCCTGTTACCATTCTCTTCAGAAATGGTTCGATTTCATTTCGTTTCAGCAAAGAATCGCAAATGTTAATTCTGTCCAATAAATTTTTCACAGACAATTCATGTGGTATCCATACATCGAGCTTTTTTTTGTAGCCAGCCTTTTCTAAATGGTTCAGAACCGTTTGATGATGAATGTTTAGTTCATTTGCGATGTCATGGCTGCTTATGTGACGGTCTTGGTCAATCCTTTCCATAATTTCATCGACTTTTTCAAAGATTGGTCGACCAGAGCGAGGTGCATCTTTCACATCGAAATTTCCTGAACGGAAGCGTGCGAACCATTGTTGTGCTACACGAACTGATAGAGCATCGTCACCGTAAACATCACAAATTTCATTAGTGGCTTGCGTGGCATTCTTCCCTTTTTTATACAAAAATTTCAAAATATAGCGAATTTCTTCTTTATTTTCACTCATTTTTGAACAGCTGTAACTTTTTTCAAATTCTTTGAATTACATTTTTTTTTTTTGGCAATCGAAGCTTAAAGTGCTACCAATCGAACACCACAATGTGTACACAATGTGATTGGTAGCACTGGAGATATACGACGCCAACGACATCTATTGGCAAAATACGAAAAAACTTTTTAGACTACCCAATATAATGGACAAACACCTGGTCAAGTAGAGCAATTTAAATGTTCTTTGACATATGCTCGAAACTATGCTTGGAAAATTTAAAGATTTATCTATTTAAAGATGTCTCCATATTCATATTTATAATATTTAATATAATGGACGTCGCATATTGGGATTGAAAAATCCAGCGTAAGCACTAAGTCTTATAAAGAATAATAATAATAATAAATAAAAAAAAAAATTAATAAATAAATAAAATAGTTAAAAAATCGGAAATGTTTTTGAGAGGTCCTTCTTAATTCTTATATTGCTATATTCAAAATCTAATTTTATTTCATTTCAAATCATCTTTTCAGAATTTTTTTTTTCAACTACTCTATTTTACTTTAGCTATCCATTCACTGTCGAAAACTTTGATTTTAGTTTTACTATCTAATCATGTTTTTTTTTTTTAGCTTTAGCATGATTATTGTTTCAAAGCACAAATATACATTTTCGAATATTTTTAAGCAGCTCTGGGTAATTTATTTTATTTATTTATTTTTTTTTTTTGTATGTGATACTTTTTTCCCTTTTTTTTTTTAATTGAAGCCCGAGCGTTGATCAACTTTAAACTCAGCACTTATCGTAACCAATATTTATTTTATATAATAATCTAAAAAAGTAGTAGTAAGTATACGATATATATTTACGAATGATAATCATACGATATTATACGATATTTAAATTACATAATCTTCAAGCTAAAGTTAAGAATTTAATGGAGGTCTCTGGTTCGATTCGGCTAATATCCGTAATAACGCTCGATTCGATGCGATCAAAATCTATAATAACAGATTTTAGACCGATTTGTTTTAGAGACCTCCATAATATATGAGATTCGAGTAGAGTCCGGAATGTATTCAAAATGGATATAACTTACATAATGTCGCCCAAGTTGAGACGCGCTTGAAATGGTGCACAACTGTCCGGCCCAGCGGCTGTTAGGGGTCGTCGACGCTTGCCAAAAGGGTGCGAGCCCGGCGGAGTGCCGCCCCTGGTGACGCCATCGCCAATGATGGCAATGTTGTCATCCAGACTGAACGTATTTGCGCTTGCCAAGCGTCCCATCGGGGATGAGACCCTACCGCGTCGGGCACCCACTCCACCCAGCATCCTGACAGTTAAACAAAAAAAAAAACAAAAACAAAAAAAAAAAAAAGCACACACCCCAAAGCTAATTAGACATTAGAGCACAGCACGACAACGAAAGAGCTTACTGTCTCTTATAGAGAAAGCCCCTTCCGGAGATCAACGCTTGAGTATCCGAAACATTTCTCGATAATAACCACACGCACAATGCACTGCACTAGCAAAAACCTTTCCGTTGAGCTTCAGAATATTTTGAACTGGACTGGATTGATGTATCTCCTATTTAGGCACTGGCACGATCTGCATCTGGCATCGATTCGAGCCACACATCTGAAACACGACCGAAGCTGGATGCATTCCCGGGCACCTTTCGGGCCCAACTGATGCCCTGCCACCTGTACAGCAAGGCAAGCTGACTTGCCTAAGCCCCACACACACACACACACATCGACAGAGACTTGCGCATCTACGTAGCTCACTTTGATGATGACAATAGCGAACAGATGATGGTGATGATGCGAGGAGGATGACGTGCTCGATAGCATCGAGCATATGCGCATTAATTAGTTAGTGTCTGTCTGGAAATGCTTGTGCTACTTATTTGATGTGCCCCGAGTGTAAGACTTAAGCTGAAGCTTTAATTAAAGCCAGACGATAAAAGGAAGGACAGCCTGACAAGTTGTCAAAGCGAAAGTTTCAAGATTCGGCATTTATATGTTAGTTATAATTATGGATTACTTACTAATTTAGTTGCTCCTCTACGTCAAACTGGCCCTGCCCGAACGGACCAAATAGCTATTGCTCTCCTCCCGCCCACTCTCAGCCAAAGGGCTCGAGGATAAAGGAGTTTGCCAACACGCAAACTCACTCGGATAACTTAGGAGCACTACTCTCTCCATCTCCCTCTCTCTCTCTCTTGCTCTCTCCATCAGCAATGCCCGAGCCTACTTACAGCAATAGCTACCTCTCTCTTACTCTGTCATGCCAACAGTTCTGCTGCCTCTCTCTCTTACCTCTCCCTCTCACACTCTCTTCCGCCCTCTCACATCCTCCCTCTCTCCATCTCTCACTCTCCCTTTCAGCAGCACCCGGGCCTACGTACATCAACAGCAATCTGTCTCACTCTCTCAGCTTCATCAATTGTTTGCCAACACGCAAACTCACTCGGATACTCAGAAGCACTACTCTCTTTCTCTCTCTCTCTCTCTTTCTCTCTCTATCTCTATCTCTCTACAGCAACAGCTACCTCTTTCTCACTCTGCCATGGTAAGATTTCTGTTGCAGCTGCAGAGTCTGCTGCCTCTCTCTCTCTCTACCTCTCTCTCTCTCTCCCATCCTTTCACATCTTTCCACTCTCTATCCCTTACTCTCTCTTTCAGCAGCACTCTCTGTCTCACTCTCTCATCAAGTGTTTGTCAACACTCACACTCCCTCGGATAATGCCTCCGCAACAGCCATTTACAATCTCTCAACAGTACTACTGTAACTCTCTCTATACTCTTTCTCTGTTTCTTTCTCTCTCTCTCGCTCACTCTTTTTCTCTTTCTCTCTTTCTCTTTCTCTCTCTCTCTCTATCAGCAATGCCCAGGCTTACTTACAACAACAGCTACCTCTTTCTCACTCTGTCATGCCAACAGTTCTGTTGCAGCAGCAGAGTCTGCTCCCTCTATCTCTCTGTCTCTACCTCTCCCTCTCTCTCAGCAGCACCCGAACCTACGTACATGAACATCAATCTCTGTCTCACTTTCATTAAGTGTTTTCCAACACGCAAACTCACTCGCATACTCTATACTCTCTCTCTTTCTATCAGTAATACCTGGGCCTACTTACAGCAACACCTACTTACCTCTTTCTCATACGCACATGCCTACACTACAGCAGCAGGCTCTCCTTTGCTACTTATTAGCAACAGCTATCTCTATCTCACTCAGAGAGTGAGACTCTGCTGTGTCTATCTTACTCTATCGCTGGTATTCCGCTGCCTCCAAAAGCCAAACTTATGATGGCTCCTGGGATACCAAGTGTGTAAGTCTTCATCCAAACAGTATTTTTTCACAAACATTCAGGAGTACCGGCAACAGGCTAATTGAGCTATATAGGATCTACAATAATGCCTATAAAATGTCCATAATATATGACTTATTGTCGTCTGTGATGTCTTCTTCATACATTTACAGCTAATTTTTCTGTACCGTCAAAGGA